GTCTGTAAATGCATCGGTACATCTGTGAGTAAACGGCTTCACATTTAGAGTAACACTTTAAAGTTGGATTATGAAATAGCATCAGTATTTTACGATCTTATTTCTATAATTCACTGTTGTAGTCTTATTCGTCTGCCAAGGTTTTACATTTCGTTTTTGAATAGGACGTCAAGGTAATTAGTAATTTAATTTGCATTCAATGAGGACCCTCTAAAATTGGAGTGATTTGAAAGCGTTTGAAAACATAAGGCAAATAACTCCGACTGTGGATATCAGGAACTAGGCAGGTCCTACTTAAACTCCTCGCAAATAAAATGACGCCGCCGTAGTTTTAATTAAATTTTAAGGAATTTTACCAGCATTCACCGGATGTTTAAACGTTCTATTTGATCTTTAATTGCGAATGAATTTCCATTGCATAGGAAGTCAATTTCCTTTGTCGTGGTGGACATAATTCGGTGATAAACAGAATCCCTGTTGTCGTACTCTGGTAAAACTCATTCGTAAAATAAGCAGCATCTTTCACAGATGAAGTTTAAGTGGACATATGTCAGTGAAAAAGACAAAATAATATCAATGCATAGGAGCCACTCACTAATGAGGTTTTTGCGAGCTTCCGCTGGGGTCATTTCGGGGCATTTTGCAACGGCGTCTAGAAGCTGTCTTGTCCATTCCCGTTTCCGAATGCCAACACCACGAGGCATCAGATCAACCGCCTCTTCGCTACAATAGGCATGAATATCACGAACGATCTAAACGTCCGTGTAATACGAACATCTGAGGAATTTGAAAGTGCTCCTCACTAATGTCTTCTCGTATTTTGGTGTGTTATTCATTATAAATACGAAGAGGTTCTGGCCCTAGCTTTCTTAGGTAAACTAAGAATACAAGAGCGTGTACCTTTACAACAAGTCTCTTTTTAAGAAATTCAGACAGTTTTGATTATTAGCTTGTTTGATTTAGCTTCCTGATAGCTAGTTGAACATTTAGATAGTGATGAAAACGGCAGTTATAAACTCCTCGTACACTTTGCCCTTGGATCCAGATAGACCGAAAAGCTTTTGCTGTCTTTTACGCAAATATCTGAAAATTTCATGAGCAATAGAAAATAATTTACTTCAGTTTAAAATATGCCTCTTATTTGCAGATAGACTTGCCTTTAACCTTAGAGCAAAGTCATCAATTTAATAATTATATTAAATCAACGCTTTTAAGGTGTTTTGAATAAAATTAGCATTACATCAGAGAAACCAACCGAAACTTGGGGTATTCGAGGTTATGCTTACTGAGTTAGTTTTGAGCCATTTGAGAAAATAAAGGAGAGGTAGACAGCCATCTGTATGAGCTCCCGCTGAAATTAAGGTTAGAAATGGTAAAGTGATGTACATTTATTGTATTTTTGCCAAAGTAAAAGGATTCTCACGTATTGTCTTTCATCGAGCTGACCGTCATCAGTTGAAATCCAGTAGCCTGAAAGAAATTGTTCAACCACCTAAAAAGAAAATACAAAATTCTCTCCCTATTAATGGCGACATTCTGGAGGTTTGCTCGCCAAGGCCTCTGTTCACGTTGGTAAGAATTTTCAAATCGCTTCCATTTCATCGAGTACTGTTTAAGTGTCGGAATGGATTCTTTCGTATTTGCAGTAAAAAAAGGGCAAAACATTCACCTGATCGAATAGGACCTTTATGTACTCCGGGGATCGCTTCGTCAAATCGGGCTGGGTCCACCAGCACACCCGTCTGTAAAAGAGGGCTGAGTTTTCGTTGCCCTCATCATAAGGGCAAGAGTCAAAGTAGTACGTTTTTAACTCAATTGGAATCAAGCTTAGGTTAGCGATTCCTAAAAAAAAATTTCATGCACCAAGAAAGAGATGCAGAGTGGACTATGGACGACGTTGATAGCAGATGTTTGACATTACCATCCAGAGGCTTCGAGGGCAGGCGGAATAGAGTGAACTCCAGCCTCTCTTTGGTCTGGGTGATGTTGAGCTGCTCAGAGAGCATAAAGGATACCTCTCCGATTTGAGACATGGGCGAGACGTTAACTGATATTGCGCAGCGCGCCGGCAGGTTAATCCGATGCTTGCAAGTCGTCTCGCCCCTCTTCATTAGGAGGAAAAAGAAAAGTCACAATGTGAAACAGAATATGAGGTAGTCTACCTGCCCTAAAACACGTTGCCCTTCCCCTTGAAGGGAGCGTGATTTACGTGGTGGATAATTTTATTATCTTCAAAGCTACTGGAGTGGTACTTGGCTTTACTTTTAGGTGGGGAAAGGGAAGTTTATGAGTGTAAGGAAGGACCTATTACAAGACGTGAAAGCATTAACCAATCTTTCGTGCCCACTCACCAAGTAGGCATCAACCTCAGCGTCGGGCGGAAGGACCTGGCGCGGGCCGTACTTCTCCACCTTGTCTAGGTTTCCTATCACCGTCGCGGCTAGAGCTGCAGATTGACACAGAGGGAAAGGCGCTGTGGGTAAGTGAGCCTATTATGCACCCAACCAGTCAAACTGGATAAGACAAATCACTGCTAATTAGCGGCACCTACCGACCCATCGTTGGGGGTAGGGACTAAAGGTCAGCTCCCAGGGAGAAGCCTATTTCAAGGGAGAAAATTTCCATCATTCTCTATAAAAGCATGTTTTATAGAATGTACTTTAAGAATTTTATTAACTATTAGGAGCCCCATTTTCAAATTATTTCCCCGAAACAAAAGTTTTCGAATGCTGCATTTACCTGAATAAATGCTTCCTTCGAATCGCCGAGTCGTATTTTATAATATCAAAATGTGTTACTAAACTTTTTACAATTAATTGCCAAGTGCCTTCTACCAAGGAGAGTGTTATAATAGAAACACAAAACACTTTGAAATCAGGGTTAAAACCTCCAGGATCCACAGTCCCTTTAATGTCCCGCACATCCCTGTCGCAAATTCGCAAAATTTTCATTGAAACCTAACTAATTTGCAGCCACGACCTTCCTCACTGAACTTTATTTTTAACCTGACACTAACTCCAATTTTGTTCTTTTGTTTTTGCTTTCATGTCTCAAAAAATCCTTCATTTTTTAATCATCTTTATTGAGCTGTGCCTTCGTTATATGACTTTTGTGCCACATGAAGTGTACTTAGTTTACCGTCCCGACAATGTCAAAGAAAGGTTAGCCATCAAGTTTGCAGTTGCATTGGTTACTCGGTTTTACCCGACTGTGAGTGAAGAAGACAGCAGCCAGTGAGCGTCCTGTGGGGGTGACAAGGGCACACCCTAATGTGGACGTGCCAGTGCGGTAAATAGCCACTAGACCATACTGTGCTCTACTTCTACATCAATTGCTTACTTTTTTAGGCTAAGGCATTAAACCAACTTTTAAATGGAATCAAAATGCTTTGAAATCTTGATTTGGACCATATGATAGGGATAAGCATTTAGTGACATGCGTCAAACGGTTGCAATTCCTTTTGATCTATTGCGGGTTCTGGAACCTAACCTCGCGAATGTCCAAGGCGCAGCCGTACTCTATCATATGTAAATACTTATAAGGATGAAATTCATAACGAATAGATCCAGAAAATGTGTTGTCGTTTTAGAATTGAAAATCGCGTGTACCTGTGAAAAGTACTGAATATGGGGAATGAAATGTGCAAAAAAGGAGTAGCAGTAAAGAGGAGGAGCGCTGTGGCTGGCAATAGAAAAAAAATAAACAGTTGAGCACGGATTTACAACATCATTGTGATTGCACTGGTTTACTTCTTAAAACATTAACTAGTGCCTCGAATAGCAATTTCTTAGCCACGAGAACCGCCCTTTCCATCTTTATCTAGCTTTTGCTGGTACTAAGGAAGACTAATGGTAAGCGGTTTAAGAGGAGCTTACTTTGGGCTTTCTGGTCATGAAGCGTGATGCCCTTCGCGTGTTCGAGAAGCATTGCCCTCAGCTTTGGTGAGCAGGTCAAGAACATGGTGCAAATGGCATATATTGTCCAAACCATAGTCAACGAATTTCTAAATGGCAGTAAATATACAAATATTGGTAAAGATTAAAATACAATCTATTTGATGCACAGACCACAGAAAAGAGATGGATTCAGAAAGCACGTTACTGCTATCTTTAACTGACAGTTTGCTCAGTCTGCTAGTCTGCTTAGAGCATTGTCAGGCAAAAAATAAATAACAAAATCGGACATTCATATCGTCCAAATTTGTTAACAAAAAAATTCTTAAGATGTTTAAACTAACTTCATAAGATTTATTAAATTACGTAAGCATTGCTATGGTTTCCAGATCAAACTTACGGATTTTCACTCTCGTTCTTGTTCGTCTGTTTCACCAACTGACAGAAGACCTCGTCTTGGAGGGCTGGATGACGCTTAGCCAACTAAAGAGAAACAAAAGGTTCGGGCAACTTGGCTTCACTTCAAAGAATGGTAGTTTCATGCAGCACACAACTAGCCTTCAGTATTCGTTGAACAAGGGCGACAGGTGGTTTTGATGGTTGACACTCTTGACAGAGTTCGAGGATAGCTGGATAAAAGATGGCAGTTGTTTTAATATCCTTCTTCCTGAAGTTGCTTTGATCGTAAATTCTTGACTTTCCATTCACTAAGTCTAATGGTGCTGCTGCCTGCATGCACTGCCAGTCAACATGCCCTATATTCTACGTGACTGCTAATGGGAACAGAGGGCGAGCTCCATTTTATGGTCTGCTGCATCTTGTGCAAAGGAGAATGCACCGACATAAACATGATCGCAGTGTTATTCACCTCGCCCTGAATCAAAACAACCGCCTAAGTGTAGGCCTAAGTGCGATGACCGTTCCCATGAATCTTTGTTTCTCCCAAATCACTGAAGCCTCTCATTTAATTAAACTTTTTCACTTCACTCAACCACCTTGCAACTTAAGTTTTTATTTAGTCACCTCTAAAATTCACCAATCCTTTATAAGACAGTTAGGCTGATTTAAACGCCTTTAAAAGCCTATGTATTTATATAACTCATTGTGTTAACCTTCAAATATCCTTGATGCAGATTCGACTGCATTAGGATCCGATAATTTGATCAAGGATCCATACTTCAAAGGTGTTGATTGCCATGAAAGTTGTTTTCCAATGCTCCTCCTGAAAAACCGAGAGTGGGCGACGTTAAATGCATTGAAATGCAAGGCAGATCATTTCGAGCTGAGAAGTGTGACAGAGACTGTGATTTTCACAGCTATTTTTTGAGAGTGAAACCAAATGCTAACCTAGCTACAGCTCTTTCAAATGTAAGCAATCATTTACTTGTCCTTAAAGTGTTCCCTTCCAAAGGGAACCAGAGCCTCCAGTACGTTGCTGTAGGAAGAGCGCGTGGAGGTGATAGACATGGTATCCGACATATAATCAACGTAGGTCTTTTCACGACCTCCTCTTGGCGGTTCTACGGGTCAACAATGGCTAGTTATATGGGAAAGGTATCCATACATGAGTCTTATGACAGAGGATTGCTTATGGTCCCCTTGAATTTATAATGCTGCATCACCAGTTTGCAGTAGTTTCACTTAAAAATAGTTAAATGATCAAAGATTACATAAGCATTTGATTGCATCATGTGTTAAAGTTGTAGATGAGCATAAAAATCTAAAGCACTAAACCAGTTTACGAGTTTGCTACTTAGGTAGGATAAACAAATGCTACCATTGTGTCCAGTGTGACTCACTTGGTACATCAGAAGTATTCTGCCATTTTAGCTAAAAAATAAAATCATATAGGAAACCAAATCAGAAAATCTTTCCGCTACAAATGTTACTGTAAGAATTTAGCCACCGACAACAGCATAGCTTCAGCAGGCCTATCCAAAAGCCAATTGCCGATGAGTTTTTGTATCGTAAATATCTTATCACAGGTAACATCAAAACAGGTTCTGTCCCCACAATATACACTGGCAGCTTACATTATATTCAGCAACGAAAATGTTGATAAGGCGCTTCAGATCATCGGCCTAAAAAGGGGAGTGGAGCACGATTTACAGGCATTATAAAAAATCAGAATAGAAGCTAGCAAAAGCAACATACGTAGCTGGTGTACATATCATAGACGTAGCCTTTGTCGTCTCTGATGGTAACGTAGTTGGGTTCATCAGTGAGACGAATGCCCTTGGTGTTGACGAGGTACTTCTGGCCCGCGATCGTTCGCTGCGGCATCGGGCGCTCTTTGAACGAGGCGTCACAAGTCACGATACTGGCCAGCGGCACCTCCGCGTAGGGCTCCAAGTTGCGGTCGTTCTTTTTTTGCTGCACAAAGCGGATTGACCTGTGCCCCACTACGCACCAGTTGTACACGCGCGATTTTTCCGATCCGTCTGTAGGCTAATAAAATGTGCAAACATTTGAAAGGAAATGTTTGCTACTTAGAAGTTTTAAGCAAGAAGGCAAAAAAAGTAGGTCAAGGTAGTGGTCAGTGAAATTAAATCTTGTGAAATACATGCAAGATGGCTTTGAATTGGGTGGCCACTACTTTTGCATCAGCATCATAGCACCGTGATTGCATTGAAATCATGAAAGTGCCTCCCTAAAGGGCATGAAGGGCCGTTACATGGTCCCGCTCACACCCACCTCAATGGCATAGAAACGGCCAAAGTAGTAAGGACATTGTTTCGCTGCATCGATAACCATTCGTTTCACAGCTGTCGGTTGGAACAGCAATTGGTTTAGGGAACTGTTGAGAAGAATTTCACCTAAAAATAAACAAAAAAGCATGTCCGAGTCACTTTCGCTTGAATGAAGGAGAAAAAATCCTGTTTATATCAAAGACTTGCAACCTCACCGATAGTATTTCGAAGGATGCGCACATCGTTGGATGTCAGACGAGGCGTAACGTTTTCCAAGACATCACCCACAATCTGACAGAATACTAGATCAAGGAGACGTTTTGGTTTCAACTTTTCCAGTGGAGTTATTAGCTAAAAAGGACAAATAAAACAGTTTAGTTGTTTATAAGGTTTTGCAAAAAAACGGAATTACGGTAGTTTCACCAAATACGCAACTGCTAGGGTCGGCTAACAGATATACTTTGAGACAATGGCTACTGCTATTCACGTTTTTGAAATACAGAGACCATGGCTACCTTGTACAAATGCATACCGTATAGTTATAACGGAACGTATAATCCAGAAGTGACTTGAATACTGTATCAGCCGGTTAAATTACTTTCAAACATTGTGCAAGTCATTATTTGAAATATTCTAAGTCATGCTATGCTACTTTATTGTGTAAAGATTACCTTTACAATCCAGTCACATACTTCATGTTCTAGTAAACCCCTGACAGCTTTTATCCATCTCATTGTCCTAGAGGTATCGTTAACCCATTTCACAATACCAGCGGGTATTCAGCATTGCAAAGTTGGATAAGTTACCTCTTTTCGAACACGTAGAGACCATCGGGCATGCTTGTAGGTGAGGTAACGCATCTCGTGTGGCGGGTATCCACTCAAGGTACCAGTAGTGCCGGGGAGGCCAATAGGCGGACCAGAGGGCACAGAATTGTCAGCCTGCACTGTCACGCCCTCGTCCTCGTCCATAGCCAACACACTAGCCGCTCGTGGCAGCTTCACTTTCGAGGGTCCGCTACCTCCGCCACTACCCTTAACGCTGCGTTTCCGTCGAATGCTCATGCGCTGCTTCGGCGGATCGTAGCGTTTTGCCGCCATCTTCCGTACCGCCTGTAGCCAACTCGCCTCCCTTGCCGCCGCCGAGGCGCCACGTGTCTGCTGCGGTTGCTGCTGTGTGAGAAACATCAGAGAGTAATTTCATCCGACCACCTCTAATATTATCTAATTTACGCAATTTAAAGTATGCAAATAAGTACCTATAAACTAAGCTACTAGAAAATATTCAGACGGCCTATCCTAAAATCGTCGGTAATTTATTGTCACGGTTGATTATTATGATTGGCATCACCAAGCTTACTTAGCATTCAAGTTCAGATTATTTTCTTTAAAATGAAAGGAAATATTTAAGAAATTGAAATAAAATGGTAAATGGACTTATTTATTTATAAGCAGCGTCTGTAATGAATAACTTACACCTATAGCAAAAATAAAATAATTCATATAGCAATCAAACAGCACTTTGAAGAGGCTTTTTAACAACCCAAATCGACGGGATGAGAGCTTAAACTAACTCACCGCGGTATCGTTTATGCCGTGGGTGGAGGAGGCCAGGGTGCCACTCATTTTGCGAGACCACGTGCTCCCGCCACCGGCGTTACTGATGGGCGGTCTAAAGTATCACGTAATGCGCTCTCAGTTACAGGTCGGCTCATGAGCGTTAGGCAGATGCGAGTAGAATGAGTCTACGTGTCAGTCACACAACCATCACAATTTCAAGAGTTAATTGTAATCCACCGTGAGTCATTAAGAGCACTTTAGGTATAAGGGCGAGCGCTTCAGTTGTCATAAGCACATACCTTGCTGCACTTCCATTCATTTGGTGACGTCGTCTGTCAAGAGATGGGTAACGCATCTGCACACTTCTGTCAAAGTTTCGCCTAAAGTAATGAAAGGAAACAGTAGAGTTGGAAGGTCACACCGTATAATCTAAGCTGTCTGTATGTTCCAAACAATCCTCGCGTATAAAAGGTATAGCTTTAGATTATTTACATTTGTGGTGCGCTACGATGCTGTTACTCACGCGGACTTGTAAGCGTCATTATCACGGAGGGTGCCGACAAACGGTGGTCCAAGAGCGTACTCCGAGGGGTCCATAGTGGTGGCCAGGAAGTTCTGGTCGTAGCCAAGACCCGAGAGTGCGAACCAGTCGGAAGGGAGCTCCGTGGCGCTCAGCATGTCCATCACATACCTATGCCCGCTCGGCTCAATCACTCCACCTTTGCGGTATAGGCTCACCGTCCATCCACGACCCAGGCGCGCTGTCTTGGCTCTGAAGGAGAGGTCAAATAGCAATTCCTTTCACGCCTGCTATGTTATTAAAAACAGCCTAGATTTGACTAAATCAACGGTATTATATGTTGCTTCCCTTAATATGGGTAATTTTGTGCCGGGAGTGGTCTTTGTAGATTTTGGTAGAAAATTGGATCAAATGCTTCCTTCGCAGACCACGAGAAGTTATTTCGAGACATGCCAACTTATGTGTCAAAAATTGACCACGATACTACCGTTTGTTAAACTTACATTTAATTTTCGTAGCGACATACAAAATGTTCTTTTCAATCTATGCTGATGACTGCGCAGTCTTGAACGACAATAGTGCCAATGAATCTCGCAATATTCCAACGTTGCCCATCGCATTACCATGTACTTCTTAAAAGTAGCTCAGTTACGGTAATTTCGTGCCATAAGAAAGTTGTAGAATAATATGAAGCACTATTCCACGCCTTTAACAAGTCTGAAGCATCACCGAGTGTTGGAAACAATTACATTTTACTGGCCAATAGAGCCAAAGCTTGTCAGTGCTGGACTCCACCAAGTCCAGACTGAGTACTAAAATCACAGGAGGAGTGTACTGTCAAAGTGACAAGCAAAGTAAATGAGAGTATCATCTGAACTAGTAATGGCTCAACTTTAAGTGATTATGCTCGGGCCTTGAATGAACATCAGTGTCTGTTGAAAACCTCGGTTTACAGTCAGCATTGCGTATTCCGTTCGTTGTCACCCAATAACCGTTTTAATTACGATCGACGGAGCAAAAGGTTCGTACTCTTGGTAAATCGAAGGAAAAGGCGGAAACGTACTTCAAACTGATGGCCTGGTTGGCAAGTTCATCAGCTCTGGTGAAGCAGACTGTGTGTATGTTGGCAGTGGTGCCTGCAGCAAAAAGATGTGCTTATGGATAAGAAAACGGGTCCAAACTCCGCAATCTGTGCGTGCATATTAGTTTTGATGGCCTGGAGTTGGATAAAACTGAAAAACTGACTATCGGAATATTGCCCCCAAATGGCATAACTAATGAAATAATTTTAGTCTTGAGTGCGAAACGAAGCGAGTAAATTCCGAATTATCCGCTTTATCGCAGGATGTTATATTTCATAGCCTTCGCCATTTTAATCTTCCTATCATATCTGCTTTAATGCACTAAAATAACTTAATGGACTAATCAGTCATCCAACGGTCGAGAATCGTAAATAAAAACGAAAATTTGTTTGCATAGATTCTTAGCTTTTCAGGTGAGCATTAACTTGAGCACTCATTATCACCATATTGTGTACTTGTTAAGGGGCCAAATTGTTTGCCTATCTCTGTTTGGTATTTTAAAAGCTGGTTAACCTGTTTTACGCAATATTTTCTTTGCGCGTGGTTTTAATAACAAAAGCTTAGTAACAATTTCTTCACTTCTTCAACTCGGTCGCAAAACCCGCGCTACTGATTTTGGGACAGACTTCGAGACCAAACGTACCATCGGGGTAGGTGAGGTAAAGAGCCATGTTCGTACCAGTGTAGTTCACGCGCCATTCCAGCATAGACGGGGGATAGGTTCTGGTTATGACAGGAGCTGTAACAACCCTATCTTCACAGAACCGTAATGACCGCGGAGGTGCGAATTGGCGAATATGGCTGTCGAATCGAAGAGTGTAATAATTCGATTGTAAAACAAAGCGCAGGAATTTTACGCTCTGCCAATGTAAGGGCAGTTGAAACTATACAGAAGGGATTTTTGGAATGTAGGCATTATTCTGGGTTACTTTTAAAAATACAATACCGTGATACATTACACTCCCTTTCGCGCAGTCAAAACCACACCACCAAGCGTTCATTTGAGTTAAACGTTCCGGAGACACAGTACGACAGGACCGTTTACATTCCTGAGAACTAATGGTACTGACTTCATTTACGAAAGCCTAGGCAAAAGCTCATACGAGAGCGAGGTCAAGCAGTGGATGATGCAATTTGACAATGCCCAGTTTGCACCATGCCCTATTAAAGCCACCTGATGACTAGTGGAGGGAACTAACCGGACAACGGCGGCCCTCTGGGACTTGGGGAGACGACCACAGGTGAGGATACCGGCGATGTGCATCCAGAGGCGTCTGTGACTGCGCCGCATTTCGTCCTGCGCAGACTTGTGACTGATTTCATGACGCGTGCGCTTCATCTGTACCCCTGTGCGCCCCGTCGACTTCCACCGCGTCGACTTTTGGCGAATGAGGTCCTTACGCGCGTGACTGAAAGTAATCTCCTCATCCTCCGAGTCCGTGGCGTAATCCAACTCACTGTTGATCGGCCAACTCAGCGTCTGATTCAGCAATTGGAAGAGAATTTCTCGGAACAGGGTGAAATTCGATAGCGCCTAAAGAGACAACCAGGGTAATTGTCAATACACAGCGCATAAAAGAGAAGTGATGGGTCCTGAGCACAGCTCTCTTATTATTAATGAGTCGAGCCAAACTATCCCACGCATTTACAGGGTACTGTCACGTAATTTTCCCATAAAATGAAGGGGTCAGATTTCCCAACTAGTGAAAAGCCACAACATAGGAAAAATTGTGGCCACTGCTTGGTAAAGCAGTAATCATGGCTATCATTCTGCTATGCATCGTAATTATGGAGGGACCACTTTGAACATCCAACTCTTATTTACCCACATCGTTTTCAATGCATCTGTGAAGCAGGTACTCAATAGTAAACATTAGTTCACATCTCAGCTCTGCTGAAGCTGCTAAAGAGTTTGACGAACCTACGAGATGCATCGATGAGTATGAAATGCAATTTTTATTCACAAACGTGACAATCTTGCTTTTTGATAGTTTCCATTAGAGGAATTATCATATTGCTTCTTAAATTTGTCAACACTCAACCTGAACCCGCAAATAACCTTACATTTTAAATAAACAAGTTTATGAAATATTTTACGCATGCTGTAAATGCATTAAAGACAGTGGGATTTTCCTCACCATTTGATAGAGGTAACTTCCCATCAAGAATTCGTCCATCATATCCCCAGTGTTTTGATAAAGCAGTCGCGTAATCTGCAACAGTTATGTGATAAGTGAAAGCTGTTGTCTATTTGATTCCAAAATTAAAAATTGCAAATGCTTTTACCAGTTTTGAGGCCTCGATAGCCATATCCCCCTCAATTTGAGTGGGACGATTGAGAATGAGCGGTCGAATGAGAGGTGCCATTCGTTGCCCAAGTTGGAACTTAAAGGTAAAAGCAAATGAGATGCTCGTAGAGCAACGGCTTTAACTTGTCCAAGAACAAGTCACTAATCTGATTTTTGAAAAGCACAAGTTTTAGAGTCCTAACAAAGTACTGCTACTTTCAAGGATGTCAAATCTCTAGAGAAAGTAATCCAGAATTCTCAGGTAATATCTCGTGAAGGAGTTATATTTATGACCGTACTTTTAGATGATTCTTGTTAATTTAATCAGTAATAAATGATAAGTTAGCACCTGAAATAGCAGGTCCATCAATTTGGTACGATTGCAATTGTCGTCACCCAAAGTGAGATCAGGAGAGATTATGCAATCATGGTTAGGTCATGAATTGCCAAAATTAAAAAGAAACATAAAAAAATTGGAATTCTATTCAAACGAAGACTTAAATGCTTAAGTTGTAATTACGCGGATTTGAAGTGATCAAATCAGACCTAAGATATCGAATGCTCCGATGTCAAACATTTTGGAACCAAAATCATAATAACCTTGTCTTTGCGAGCACTTATATATCGTATGGATTTTATTTTCCCGAGAGATTGAAAAATGAAAGAGTCTGAGCGAATAGCATCGAAGGAATTTAACCACCTCTTCACTGGCTGTTAAGTGACCATCATTTCAACAGAAAATACACATTGTACGTTTTCGTTCCAAAATGAAAATCCTCAAAAATCCAACCATCTGACCTTATCGAGATGCTTGCTGGTGGCAGATCCGCTGCTGGCAATGATTTGCGCAATCATCGGCGCAGTCCACAAGTCCCCTTTGAATTGGGTCCAGCATCCAGGCAAATCACTGGTCATTAGTCGCTTCACCATAAAGGTCTTCGACACTTCCATCTCAGGATTCACGAAGAAGCTCTCTTTTCCGTGACCTGCGTTGCAAGTGCAAACGAGTTCATTAAAAATGTGTGCTTATTTGAATAAATACACAGCAAAAAGACTTGTCAGATATCTTTACTATGCATCTTAAGTCATTATGTGGTTCACTGAGGATATTTTAGATTGAGCTTTTGAACAGGACATTGTTTATGCTGTTGCGCTTGTAAACTATTTAATAAACTGATCTGCTTTATTTTATCTCCCCCGTTGCGCAAAGTATTATAAATTCAACTTACTTTGGCTAACTTCTTCAATAACAAATGCTAGATCCTGTGGAATTGGTAAACTGGCGATTTCGGCAGCCGTAAGGTTTCCCTCATAATCCTCCTCTTCTTCGTGTTCCTAAGGCAAATACAATTAAATGAACCGAAGATGCCTTAATCTGCTTACTTACAAACACGGAAAGAGTTTGGGTAGTGCTTTGAATAAACCCTTATCTTTTCTCATTTTATGTTTAGTGTTACAAGTTTGTTAAACCCTATAAACACCCATTCCCCTTGAATGCACAATGAAAGGTGAGCTCGACATTATACGTAGATTTTCTTGGGACGCACTTCAGACTGGATATTTTCTGGAAAGGACACTATTATTCCCGAATTTGTAGCTAAATGAAACAGCAACTTACCTTCCACATTATTGCATCACTCATGGACATCAGCTGAAACGCAAAGAACGATTGATTACATTATGGTACAGCGGACACATCGAAACACGAGCGAAGCGTCGTCTGGCATGCACTGAAGAGGGCTAGCACTTTTACAAGCTGAACAATATGCCATAAGCATTATCATACGTGTTGGCCATGACCGCTTCGACAAAGAGTTGCACACGGCCAATACACATTAGAATGCACTGATTGGTGGATTGGTCACTCCCCCCCCCCACGTTTCCCCATTCCTGCGGCCACACCTGCGCCTTCCTTTGAGCCAGTCATGCTCGGAATCAAGGTCTCTAGCCTTAGCAACTTTGGTTCAGATTTACAGCCGCAACCAGCTTAGCACTCTTTCATCAACTTCGGTTTGGTATCAACTCGTTCAAACTGCCGATAGTTGAAAAGTTGGCAGACTTTTAAGTCATTGCTCGAAGAATGCTTGCTCCTTTAAACCATCTTTGGTGGACTTTGTCAAACCGGTACAAGCTTGTGAAAAGTAGTATTGTGCCTAATTTCTAAAATGAATAATGGTAGAGACACTGGGTTCTATCTGTAGACAAAAATACATATGTACAGCATTCAATAATTTTGCTTACAATCCCCCAGCTATGTGTTAATCTGCAACAATGAAGCCAGCTTTTTTGCAGTAAGGAAACCACAGTATATTCAATTGCCTTACGTGAGTATCTTTACATGGTATTAGTAGAGCTTCTCGAGGATTCATTACACGATGACACAAATTACGATAGCAGTCGAAAGCCACACCCATTCAAAGTCGAATGCGTGTCATGGTTGGTGGGAGGACGAAACAGTGATCGCACATCGAAGCAGCATTGAGGATCGTCAGGGCACCACCTCTGAGGAGGGCTGCATCGCGGCGCAATCAATTAGGCTACAGTCTGCGTGCGCCTACGAAAACTCCGCAAACCAAAACCACACCGTATCCTTCTCAGTAAGTGGTTCTCAAAAGCTGTGTTAGCGCAACCAAAGGACCTCATGCGAGGACTCGTAGCGACGATATCCAATTGCAAAAGCACATACATAATGACTTTGACTCTCTTCCTAATTTTAAATCACTCCCTTATGATTACTCATAAGTGTTAAAACTCAGAGGTCCCAATTGCGGCAGGAACAGGATAATTTAGAGATTTAAAATGGCTATAAAATTTAATTGGTTGAATTCGCTCCATTTTCCGATGTTAGTAGGGGTTAGCAAAGCTTTACACACCAATGACAGGAACCCGAAGCTTTTTTGCGTGCCATACGCACAAAAAATGAAGGTGGGGTTGAGGAGAATTGGGTGCCCCACGTGACAGCAAAGCATCGCGCATTTAAAGCAATTTGATCAAAACTGCCCTTCTCCGCCACAGGAACCGCTTGTGCGCGAATGCCTGGATGGTGATTTAGGCAGAAGCGACAAAAACAGGTGTTATGTGAATAGGCGCGAGGAAGTCACCGCAATACGCGATACAACTAGTGATCCCAATCGGTTTTAGTAGCATTAGCGAGTTCCGACTCAAGCAGGTCATGTTTACCAAAGATGGTTCAGTCGATTGAAGCTAAACACGAATCAGTGTTGGTGAATGTGACACTGAAAATGAAGACTCAACTCTCGCCTTAGACTGTTTTCCTCAAGTGTTGCGATAATAAGTTCTTAAGGTTTAAAAACGATTCTCACTTACTGGTGCAGGAATCCTAATTCGCATCAGTAACTTCTGGTTCTTTTTTCTGAAAAACAAAAATTGTTTTTATCATTTACTACGTGCACCTTGGCATTATTCGCTTGCAAGACTTCAAGCTTCGATGAAGGCTTTACCACTGATTTTAAAATTAAAGTGCCACCGAATTGAAAATAATACTCGTTGAAGCTTTTTACAGCATCATGAGGTTTGTCTGAAGCCAAGAATTAATTAGAAATGCTTAATTTTGACTAGGGTACTCTTTACAATATCATGATTGATTGGACCATCTAAACCTTAATTAAGATGGAATGTTAGGCAATTAAAAGAAATGTTGAGATATCACACAGGAACTAGGGCTGCGGTGACACACGAGGATGATTTTGAGGACAAGAAAAGATTATGGCACCAGCTCACCGGGCAAGATAGCCCCTGAAGACGGCCTGGATGAGAGTAGCGGCATTATTTCTAGCTCGATCTAGTTGACCAAGGGCTCGGCGACGCCAGGCGCGTTGGATGATTCGAGCCGCCTGGACATGTCGGCGCCGACGTATGCCCTCCAGCTGGTCAGCCAACTCCTGGCGCAGAAAGACCTTGGTGCGTCCGACCTCGTAGTCCTGGCCCAGTTTCACTGGCCTCGACGAGACCAGAACCCGGTTAATATTGTTGAGAAGCGCCTGGGTGCGTTGCTTCAGGCCAGGGATGCTGGTCACCTGGCGGAAGGTCTGGCGATCCAAGAGTGAAGTGTAACTATAAATATATTCGAACGGCAACACTTTGATCATCGGTTGTTATGATCACAAATTGAATTATAGTTTACGTCTATTGACACGCATCCACGGTTCTCCCATGATCAAGCTGCCAAAACCTGCCAAACCGAAATGAAGAAGCTGATTTCTTGCTAAGAATAAAGTACATCACTCAATAATACATTCGTATTTATTAGCTTTACTGTAAAGGTGAGGAATAATTTATCAGCCACTATAGCCAAGTCATAGTACAATTACTTTACTCCAGAAAACGATTAAGACCGTGATCAACAACCCACTTGCTTGCATTTAATAGAAAAGCAAAATTGTACGCTACCTTACCAAAGTAAGGGGAAGACTAACATGAAAAATCGCTGTGAAGTTTACTATATATTCAATCCGCTCCCAGTAAACGATGGATTAGAACAGTCCAAAACTGCTTGAGCTAGGTGTAAAGTGCCCGATTTCATACATATCTAACATGGAGGATAAATTTACCCTCATGAACATCCTTAGGTAGCTACTTTGTTTTTCAAATCACAGATTTGACCCAATATTCATATGACACTACATGGGGTTGCTCCACGCAGAAAGCAGTATAAATCGCAAAGAGATGGACTGGTGCACCACCAGTTGTCGGATAGCCAAACTGCGGCATTGGCAAGTCCGAGGGCAAAGTTGGTGCAATCGTCAGCCTGAACGCAAAGCACAACGCGAATCTGCTCCCTTGAGTTGAACCAGCCAGGGCTGGAGTCCCAGCTACGCTGTCTGGGATGGGCGTGCCTTTAGCTCTGGCACACACGCGGAAGGATCAGAGTTCGCAGCACCTACCACCCTACTTGTACTACTTCAGCCTCCTTCGTGAGATGAGTTAAGCGCTATTTAAGGATCAGCTTGCCTTTTGCCTAATCGACTGTCGCTACCCGAGCGTGGCCGTTGAACAAACAATTACAAGCCCGAGCTCCATTCAATGTCATTCGGATTGCAGCTATATTCCGAAATGCATGAAATTTTAAAGAAGTTAATTACGGTGGTGTAAAACGTTTAAATACTCGGGTGTAACTTATGAGTTTACAGGGTTGAACATCTTGAAAATTGATAATACTACCAGTCAACTGTTTTGATATCATAACTTTAATATCACGTTGTTCAAATCTTTTGCAATTCGTTTTTAATATTAACTCCCTAATGTCATTTGCTTTATCAACTCACACCATTTTCATGAATACGCGGATCAACTGGCTATGGTAGTGGGGAAACTAGAAAATGTAGTGGATGCAAGGGCTATTTTTGTAGACCACTTTGATAACCAACGGGTACCAGGAAAACGCAATACAAAAATAACGTTTTATAAATGCAACTTTCATAAGCATTCACCAAAGTGCCCATACTCATTGGACCTAGGGTGTCTCGAAAGAGGCAAGATTGGAGTACCACCTGACTTACGCACATTACTGATGTGGAAATCATGGAAATGAGTGGATTAAGAGGAGAGGGGGCTATGCAACGGTACAGAGTTAGCAGGCAGACACGATTTGTTCGAAGAGAACACGTCAACCGAAGGAGCGGTTTTCAATCGCCAAATGGGCACAGGCAGTGGAACAACTCACTTGTGCACAAACTGTTCGTAAGGAAGTCGCACGGGGAAGCCGGAACTTCGGATGCGCACCGTCTCAAGAATACCGATGTAGCGCAGTTGCTCCATTACCATGGTATCTTCGAAGGTCATTGGCTTCTTATCCGGATTCGGTTTAATACATCTAACAAACCACGGACGCTTCCTGAAAACATAACAGAACAGTCTGTCAAACTATCAACAACATGTAGGTATTCTATTCAAAATATAACCATACTGACCACTTTAGCATGCCATTCAAAATGAGTTAGACATTAACCAACTACTACCATTCGAATAATGTGTCCATTTTTGTGCAGAGCTGTCGCGGCACTTAGTCCCAAATTCCGGTTGCAGAATAATTGGTAATGGTTTTAAGATAGGTGTCAATTCTCCTGTGCAAAAAGCACTGAGAGAAAGCCACCGAAGCTGTCAAGTGCAAAATGTTTCCTCATTTTCAAACAGGTTAAAACAGCGTGTCATTTAAGAAACACACTTTCAGACGGAAGATCAGTGAATTACACTGTTCATCTAAAAAAGATAATCACTAAAACTCATCTCGACTCCCAGTGAAGGCAATTTTTTCAAACAACTCTTGACCGGAATAAATTTGCTCGCAATTTCCTCGGGAGTGACAGTGCTTTGATTCAAGTTCAGTCTTATCCAAATTCCAATAGCGCAAATTTTGTGTGGATGAATAAATGTTGTTGAGGAGAGCAGACTCACGTTTTCATAGTCTCCATGAGAGCTAGGAGTGAGGTGTGAAAGCTGTCGAGGAGGGTGGGTGAGCGTCCAATCCGCGAGGCTGGACCGCCACTGCGGCGGTTTGCGTTTAATGGAAGAAACATGGCAGCTACACCCTCGATTTTGCTGTCGCACAGCATGTCCAGCGCCTCGGGGCGGATTCGGTCGCGGTTCTTCTCCACCAGCCCCTCCGTCTGTAGCCCAGATGAGTCGGAAAACAGAAAAAGGCCCGTTAGCTCAGGGCATGACGGTGATTACAAGTTAATCGAGAAACTGTTGCACGTAATTATGCAGCTTCAGGTTTTTAGCGCCACAACATTACATCCAATTGTAAACATTTAGATTAATACAGGCCCTCAGAGGTAACTCAGGAGCTAAGCAATACGTACAAAACGCCCATTAGGATTTTGAAAAAAAGGCGCTATTATTAGTGAGTAGGATGAGCTTTAATATCCGCAAAACCCAAATAGCAGCAAAGTCTAGATAGTCTTTCCAGGATCTCAGTATCCATTGGAATGTATTGTAGACAGATACACATTTTGGAGCTGATCCCATTGTAATGAGTATCTTAAAAAAATTGCAAAATTTGAGGTTTAAATTGAAAATGAGCAAAACACAGCGCCTATTTCTTATTGAATAAAAGTTGGCGATACATTCAGGCTGTAGTGAGACTCTCGATTCCCTATTACATCTGGCACATTTAAACAAGAGCTGAAGGCTAGCAATGCAATTTACCCAAATTTCTGAAAAATGTGACCTTTCAAACGTGCCCTAATTCACTAGATAGCGATGTTTTGTAGGTCGGGTGGTTAGGATTAATCTTCCATTTGAAGCTTCATATTTACTCCAAGAATTATATCATAAAACCATGTAGACAAAGGGACGAAGAGGTGGGAAAACCCACCGAATAGGCGATAGTGCCGGCAAAGTGGATGACGAGGAACTCCGAGGCACTTGCAATCTTGGGAGCACCGTAGTGGGGATTGTTGCGATGGGCGGCATGACTCTTTTGAATGAATGACAGATCATTCCCCTTTAAGAGACAAAAAAGGTAATACATTTTGGTTTGTTGAAAGTATCAAATCCAAGAAACGGACTTGTGGTTTTCCAGCCTCGACATCTGTGGTGTTGGATTGACTGACACCTAGGTCTGGGTATGATACAGAGACATCGATACCAAAGTATGTGGCGAATCTTCACAAAGGGGCTTCAGTATTATGAAAGGAAAAAAATAATTATCTAGGCCACTGTATCATTTTCCAGCAGTTGCTAAAACCCTTTGATTGCAACCACGATGCGTTAAACGATAGTAAAGTGGTGGCTCCTCATGCTCCATTGTGGATCCACACAAAAGATTGACAGTAATCACTTAGAAGCAAATCTTTCTTAAAATTGTCATAATCAACTTTTTGTTTGCAACCGAGAATGACTTAAGTTGCGAGACTCACACAAAGAATTCATTTTCGTTAAGAGGATGAAGAATGATTTTTCAAATAATTTAGTACTGTAGTTACTGCACCGAAACGCTCAGAACACTTTCAAAAAATGTTCTTTGATTCAGTAAAAGTATAATTATGTAATGTGCATGCATATGCATTGCTGAAAATACAGACATCAGAATATTGGCCAAGTCTAGAGGCTGGCAAAGTCGTCTCTTCAACACCTTTTGAATAGAATTAGGATTGTCATTCACGACGAAAGTGCCCATGAAAGGGGCGGAGAACTATTACAGGGTCAGAATTTTGCATACCTAACCTACATTAAAGCGCTGAGTCCCATTGCAAACAGGCTTATGCAGCAGTGACCAGAGTCAAGGCTGCCCGACATTGGCCGAGCTTAAACCATATTAAAGTTCCAAAAGATGGCAGGACAAACAACAAAAGTGACAAATTGCTCAAACATGCATTCTAATTGTAGAATGGAGCTCCTCAACCAGTCACAAATACCGACCAGGTGCACCACTTACAATAATCTAACTCTAGTAGGAGCGTTTGATTTTTTACTTCCTACACTTTAAATTTGACAGTTATAGTAATTGTATTTAAGGGTGAAAAACAAACGCCAATATCTTGATGGGTTGAACAAAATTTTCGTGGTTTTGTTTTCCATTTTTGAATTTGCCGATCCATACACGATGCGAGGATGTGGACAATCTGATGCTACATTTTGGGGCCTATTTTAAGCACAGCAACTTGGGGTCAACAATCAAAACGCCGTGTTTAGAGTTAGGACTGCCAAACATGCGCATACGCACACACGCACGCATGCGCACCACGAAAGGAGATGGCACCGTGACAATCGATAGGCGTGCGTGCGCGCGTGCGCGCTTGTCAGCTGGCGCGCCCTTGAGCGCTTGGCACATCTACCTGCTTTCGCCTGTGCACCACCTGCAACAGTTCGAAGGGTGGCATTTGGAGGTACTCGAGTCCACTCATCTTGGCGCATCTCGAGTCCAATTAGTGGATGGCAAGCGCAGGCTTCCTGTAAGGCTCCGTCACTGCTGCTCAGATGCACCTCCACAGGACTGCATCATGCTTGAAGCATAGTTTAAATGCAGGGAATGAATAATAAGGAGGCCACGTAAAGGTAATTACGGCATGCAATTTATTGACTTTGACTCACAATACTGTTGATTAACCCCTTGTTGGATGATTCAATATCAAAACACAGTTTTGTGATCGGTAGAAATCCTTGCTAAATACCAAGCAATGAAGGCTCACACCTGACTGTTGTCTTGTCGCATAGGCACCAATGTACCAAGTGTTCATGGAGCCTGATTCATCTGACTCCAACACCACATGATACTTGACAGAATTGGCACTTTATCCCAAAGCAAGCAGTACAATGCCAGAATATTCTTTTGAAATATCCAAAAACAAATAAGAAATACTTTTGGTCTTAAAATTTCCCACCTTTAACGCAGCTGTCTATTTTATGCCTGTCACCAGAGTACAAGTGAAATTGAGACGATCATACAAACGTTTTTGTGTGCGGGGATATGCGCCAAAATGCCAGTTTTTGCACAATCCAGTACTCAAATATGCGTTTGTAAATGTATTAGACACAAGGATGAGTCTAGAACAGTGTCTTGGTATTCGCCCGTTGTTATATTGCGTGATAACTTGATTTACAAACGAAGAACAGGGAAACCAATCAAACATATCGACAATCCCGAACAATGGGAGAAAATATGAATAATATGCAAGTAATATGACCACTCTCTCTTGCAAACTGTGCTCTGCAGATTTCTTAATCCTTCACGAGTAAAAATGCAAGGAATCAGGAAAGGAACTGCTGCGGTGCGCTGCAGTAAATTGATGCAGACAGCGTTGATGGGTTCCGCGAGCTCTTGGTTAGCACAAGCGTTAATGGACATTGACTTTTTATCGAGGTTCTGATGGAAGAATAAAGCTTCTGAATCACCTCATCCAGAAATTATCAATTTGAACTACTCCACGATTAAAGAACGTACTAAGAGGTTGAATCCAGAAATAAACTTATCTCAATGGGCCGAATAAAGACAGGATCTTTAACAAGTATCAAGTGTACCGTTTTAATTGCAAGTGCAGATCAGATCATAATACCATTCTAGCATCACTGTGAACAATAAACCAATGCTATTCAACGGAAGCTATGCGGATCAAACGATGATAGTTGCAAAATGTTTGTTTTTGAAACATTATTTGGATTTGTTTCACATAGACACAGACGCACCTGACCGAGATAGGCTTCATCGTTAAGGATGTGGAAAATGCCATCGGGCTTTCCAGTGAGTAGGTTGATAATCACCCTGTTGTCGGGGAATGTGATGTAGCTCCAACTGACTCCTTCACTGCTGTATTCAGCTTGCTCGAGTTCGAAAACATAGCGATTGAAGAAAAGTTGCAGATTTTCGTTTGCATAGTTGATACATAGTTGCTCCAGGGAGTTTGATGGCAAATTCTAAGGTGGAAAACGACAAGCTTATTTGTGTACATAGACAGAGAAGCTGTAAGAAAAATTGTGTTGACCCTACATAAAAGTATGACAGACAAAATGACTAAGAATGCATGAACCGTTCCCAGTAAATCCTTTCAGCAAAGCCACTCATTAATAATATCGCAATAAAAGTGAGCACTAATAAACTAGATTTTATCTAATTCCTTGTAGCATTGGCCAGATCCTAGGCAAATTATTATCAAATACACATGCTTTACTGTAAATTTGTATTTTATAAGTGAAGAGTTGAGGCTATGTAAGGAAAAACACGTTGCCTACTTCGAAACCGTATATGTCCAGGAGGGAGATACTGCGTGAGGCTTCCAACTCGCCGACAGTTGGGGGCGCAAGGCGATGGTTGAGCTCCTCCACCAGTAATTCAAAGTACTTTGAATAGAGACACTTTGCTATGGAGTCTCTATTCACTCTTGCCTGCTGCTGATTCACCGGACTTCTTACGGCCTCGGCTCGCGTCTCCTACAAATGCAAAATTGCAATCGTAAAGCAGTATGATGCTTCAGCACACACTTAATTCATCAGATTCTGTTATTTCATTTCCCAGGGGTAGATATTTTTAACAAGACGTCATCTACCACTTAATTGCAAAAAAACTAATAAAGTGCTGGTTAATAGTATTAAATTAGTTTGATTCCTTGACCATAGTTGGGGAACTGAGATCTCACATGAGGAAACTTTAAAGCATGCAAGATTCAGCCGCTATAATCAAAGCAACATTGCAAATGCTCACCGTAACTTTAGTTGTGAGAACATTAGCCAGTGTTTGACGATTGATGGATAATTCACTTGCAATATGATCCAATGTCTCTGGATTCTTTATAAAACTGACTTCCTAAAAGCCACCATGAAAACGTTGTAAATAGACTGAAAACAATGCAAAAATGTTTGTCGAGTTAACCTTTTGCACTAAAATCACTACATCCCATTACATCAGAAATGACAAACAGGGCTTTGGAACCTCAGGTAGCCAAAGGAGTCGTATAAATAAAACAATACATATTCAATAGAAAATTTGTCACTGTGTAGCACAAAATAAGCAAAAATGACATTTTGGATCTCAACAAATTAAAAAATGCCGCAATTACGTAATAATAAGTTGGACCCATAAAACCTTTTTTGGTCAAGATTTTGATGTTCAAGTTCAGGAAATTGTACGACTATCATAATATGGGATTGACCTAATGGCATATTAAACTATACCCTAAAAATTGTGTGCATATTCGCTTTCTTACTACAAATCTTAATTAAAAATATACGCCATTCTTCCTAAAACCCCGCTGGAATTGATTTGTTTGCAAATTAGAGAATAGCCGGAAGAAACCAATGCACCCCGCACTAAGTAATAAGGTTGTATGAGAAGAGGTCAAAATGCGTGCGAGAAGGAAAAACATACATCACGCTCTCCAAACTCAACATTGCCCAAATGCAGTACGCCTGACATAATGCGAAGACACAAATCCATGTCCTCTCCAGTGAAACGTAAGTTCGACCAACAATTTAGAAGAACATGCAATGCCTCGGGATCAGATCGTGAAGCGACCTTACTAGCTTTGCCCTGAAATTGAGAGTCACAATTTTTTTTTACTTGTCATACAGCAAAGACCCTATTTGGATGGGAAAAACCTACATATTGAAGATAAGCAAAATCTGAGACAGATGTGAAGTGATGAGCATTTTTTGTTTCCTTGTCTAGACCGCTCAAAAATTGATAGAAAATGTGGTAATTTCTTTCGCCAGTAGACTGCTGTACAACACGGGATTTTTCAAGCAAGTAGTTTGTTACTCGAGCTCCAATAATAGATGGACTAAAAATTGGTAAAATTATAAACAGTAGTAAAGCTTTAGAAGTGGGGATAAGCAACGTTGCACTGTATTACGTACCCAGTAAAGAAAACCTCTACGAACTTGCCAAAGCGAGATGAATTGTCATTTCTCAAAGTAGTGGCATTACCAAAGCTTTCGAGAAGTGGAGTACTTTCTAGCACTCCCTGAGCAGCAGAACCCCATGTAATCTGATCTCCCTCACTGGAGGCCGCAAGATGACGTAAAATTCTTTTAAATGCTTCCGTCTTACCTGCACCAGACTCACCACTATAATAAAAGTATTATATTTTGTTTGAGTATCAGAATTACCTAATGATTACGACTTGATCAACACCATCATGCAATAGGTTTTGATACATTCCTTCAGCAAGTCCGTAAACGTGCGGCGGCATTGAAGCTATTGGTTGATTTCTATATGTCGCCATTACGTCAAGACCGTCGATAAGGAGATCAACATAGGGGTTAACGGTGACCAAGATGTTACCAATGTAAGTCTGCAAGAATTACGGGAACAAAAAACTTACGTAGATATTTTTTTTGTTATACCGAACTTTTAGGTTGTCTAGAATGGTCATTTGCGAAAGGTTCCTGAAACATTATTAAAATATTATTTTACCTCAAGTTCACCATATTGTCAACACTATCCACTTCCACCGGACCAATAACACGGACTCGTCGTAGATTTTTAAGGTTAAGGATTTTAACCTAAAAATCGGAGTTTTGACTGAACCAAGTTTACTTCGCCATCAATTGTACTGCGAACTTGTGTTCCATCTTGCCTAATGGAGCACACTTCGCCCATCAAATCTTTCATGTAACCTAGATCAAAGAGGATGCGAACACCCTAAAGATGTAAAAAAATAAAATATTTAAAATACTTCTCGTATTCCGGACACACTAGGCGGCATCTTTTTTAGCGTGGTCCACTGGTCCCTCTGACCTTATTCTTAAATGCACGTCTTGGAGAATAATTCTTGCTGACTGGGTTAAACAAACTCAAGGTCATAACTTCGTATGATAGAGATACCTAATTGTGCAAGACACCACCTCCAACATTCATAAAAGACAATCAAAATAATTTTTTACTAAATTAAAGAAAACTTTGCTTTTGTTGACATGTTTCGAGGTAAAATTTTACCTTAAGATTACATGGGTTTCGTAGGACCCGAAGACTTCCTGGTAGACGAAGAAGGGTGCAATACTCAAGCCAAACACGTGTTGTTGATGCAAAGTAGAGATTAGGGCTGCCGACATGGGCAAAGTACTATTAGGGAGACCTTCAAGTGTCCCCATTACCAAAACCGAGAATCGGGCAAACATTTAAAGTATTACAGTAGGTATGCAATGCCCTAAAGGTTCGTCTAGTTCTGCAGCTTATTACGCAAAAGTCTAGGACTCCGCTGATTGTGATCTTGACAAGCAACATGTCCGTCTGAGCCTTCTTTATGATGTTGATATGCATTCAGGATTACTGTTGTGACATCCTACGACCTCAATAAAGATTTGGAGGGCAGTATGTGTGCAATTTTCCATATTTCTGACTAATAGTTTCACCATATTATGCAAGCTGGGACAATCTGACTACATTTCATGCTTGTCTTACATGGTTCCACTGTAGCATAAGGATTTCGAATTGAGACTTTCCCAATAAATGTGATATGCTTTTAACTCCTTACTTATGAAGGTGTACGCCTACCCACAATTAAGGGCACTTTATTTGTATTCAGAATAAGTCATAATTAAAATTTTTATCTTCGGCTTGTGGAATTAGTCTGTCTACACAGTACTAATCATTAGTCAGGTCCCTGTATATTCATGTGTGGTGGCACTAAAGCTAATTCGTTTATAAAACCCTCTATTACCATTAATCACGTAAGCACTGCCTTTGAATGACAAAGCCATAAACTAAGGTGTGCTCCCTACAATCCGTCTTTCTGTAGAGGAAGGTATCTGCTACTCTCACAACCGTGGCTAATTACAATGAAATGAATGCATTTACTGCAGTTTTGTAGCGTCCCGAGACTTTCCTGAAGACGAAGAAAGACAAAGCACTCGGGCAGAATATATATTCAGCACAGAGAAGGTGTTTGGGTTATTGGCATGACCCGGAAGCCATCCCACCCAGTGGGATACAAGAAGGCTAGTTCAAAGTACAAAAGTGGCGCCTCACTAATACCGAGCGATAAACCACCATCGTATTACAGTTTCACTATTCAAAAAGAATTTCTGTTAACACATTGCTAAAACGGCTCTGCAGAATTAGTAAACTTGAGCTGCCCAAAATTGTGTCAGTTTTTTATTATTTCTTAAAATCAACTAGGTTTAGAGTGGCTTTAGCTGAAGAGACGACAGTATTCTATCCAAAACACAGAATTCACTCTCTCCCTAGATTTCAATGAACTAGGCTGAAAAATTAAGTGGTAAATATCCGCTTTCTTAAAGCAGCCCAAGTTAGTTAACTTCGGTCAAATGTTTTATTTAAATTTTGTTTTATAGGAGCCAGAAATAATTTGCAGTTCAGGCTAATTCCGAAGCCCGTAGATCATTTTTTTAGTCTAAGAGGCTTCCTGTGAATGGAATTACGGTTGGATGGTCTTGATACTTATTTTACTTATTCAGATAATCGAATTTAACACACGCATTTGTAAATTGTTTGTAACATGTGCCGGATAGTTGTGTAACGTCTCGAGCCTTTCCTGAAGTTCTAAGAAGTTATAGTACAATGGCAGAAAACGTACTGACGTACAGAAGTGCTGAGTGGCTACTGGCCTGGCCAGAGGCCATGCTGCTAAGTGGAGGTACAATGGTGGAAACTTAAGTGTCTGCGTAGTCAAAACGCAGAGTTAAACAAACTTACAAATTACTAAAGTTATCCTTTTTTTAACAGATGATGGCTAGTCCATACCTTAGTAGATTCAAGGAGCTGTTCTGATAATAGAGCAACGCATGCACAAAATGCAGACCGATGTTTGGATGGTTTAGAGCCAAAAGTTTAAGGTTTTACCAATCTTCACTTTCTCCAAAGTGTTGTGCTCAGTCTTATTTCAACTCCGAACGTCTGAAAAGAGCACCTTGTGTAAAATTTTCCTTATTTAGGCCTTATAACCTGTTGGCATATAAATGTCTTAAGATAATCAATGTCCACATTCTTCTTGTCACACTGGATAGACATTAAAGTTCCTACGTATGCCTGGGCTTGCAACTATCTACAGTTTATAAATCCATATGATTAGGTTTCTGGAACAAAAGATGCCCTTTTTACTACGAAAATTGACTTAAATTTACTGTGTTCTTTAAATTCGAAGTAAATTAATGCAGTCTCAAGATTCAGATTCCGCTTAACTGGGTTCACTTTCGTTCTCGAGTACAAGTCTCGCCACAAATCCACCTTGCGCTGGCTGGGCAAACGCTTTCAGGAACTCAGGACTAGCCTAGAAAGTGTATGAAAATGAACGGAAATCAGGTAAGATAATGAGTGGATGCAACCAAAGTATATAAGGACTCCGTTCACTTGCCATCTTGTTTTGAATACTTGTTATTCCTAAAAAGTGAATCCTGTGGATGTGTGTCTGCTTGTTGGTGCAAATTCTGCATTTATTACACACAGTAAGAAGCCACCTTCTGATGCACATGCCTAATGAAGGTAGAAATCAAACCGACTGTAACTGGTCAACGGTGCTCACTTTTTTAAGGCAGCTTTTGCTCAGAAGAACGAATTGTTCAGATAATAAGCATTATTTTTTTACGAAAAAGTGTTCATGCATATCGAATGACGAAAGTAGCTAATCAAAAAAACCTAAACTGCTCCCAGTAAGGTTGGAATTATGAAGTGTATCCTCTTCAACTGCCGTATCCATAAGTGGCATAGTCAGTGTTGAAAATCCTCTCGAGTTGTTACATTTGTCAGATCTATGTGCAGATCATACTTCCAATGGCAAGCGGGTCTAAAAATTTAGTCAAAGCCAAACCATTAACACATTTGGGAGCGTTATTAAAATTCTATTTAGCCTCTGTCAGGGCCACTACATGGGTGGAAAGTGTTGGCGTATTAAAGACTCCAAGAAAATAGTTCAGGTCATAGCTTAAGTGTTGCAGATGTCACATTTATTTTTTTGTGTTTTGCACTGCTTAACAGCAAATACATGATTAGATATTACCAAATGCATCTCAGAGAATATTCGGCGCTGGTGTGAGGTTTGTCCGTCTTTTCAACGGGATGAAGGGAAAATGAATGCTAGAAGTGAGGTTATATGGCTAAGTGATCACGTGTACACTACTTTTCGGCAGAGCGCCAAGTACGCCGTTGTTAGTACAACATCTGGGTGAGGACGTAGATCTACATTTTATGACTGTGCGAGTCTACAGGCGTAATTAATCTTGTGGAAGTCTGCAAACAATAATGGGGCACTGACTGACTAATTCAATAAAACCCGGCGTATTGACGACCACACATGCCCTAAAGCCGTAGACTTTTATTGCCCTCGTGGCCTGGGAGATGGAGGAGGGAAAGGACAAGGGGGAAAGCCATGCGTCGGCCACTGATTGGTCGAGGGACTGCATAGGCTACAGTACACGCACCCGGCGCTAACCGCCCTCCAATGACACCGACGAGTTGGACAAGAAGACCATTAGGAGAATAATAGAGGCAGAAGGAGTGAGTGAGAAAGAAGAACACACGCACGCACACGCATGCGCACACGAACGCAGGTATGGACACCGTGCATTGATGAGCCAATTGACACCACCGAGGGAGGATAAAGCAGGCGTGTGTACGCGATTCAGCGACTGTGGGCATATGTGCGTGTGTGCGTGAGCGTACACAAGACACAACCGTGAGCCCCCTCACGGTTGGCGCGACGCAAGCGCGCTGCAACAGCGGTGGTGGCGGTGCAATTTCCTCTGTTTCTCCTTTACCATCACTTCTCTCCGTCCCTCTCTCTCACCCTAAGCACTACTTGATGGAAAATTAACCCCTACGCAGGTCAACCACTCAGTTGAATGCCAGTCTATGAACTGCCATGGATTACGTCAGCTCAAATGCCTTCTTCTGTGTCCTACTCTTACTCATCCCCCAGAGGCATGCAGTGACATCGAGGGGTGAGCAGTCGTTCGTAGAGCACTCGATTCAGCGCAATGGGGTCTGGATAAACAAGGGTCTGATGCATTCGCTTTGCCTTTCATTGCAATTTGAAAGGCGACGTTGCGCCAACTTCAGCCTTATTCAGCGTCCAGTGCCAAAAAGTCGGGTCCTTCGTCCCGATTGCGCCTTCCTCATGAATCGGCTCCGGTGCTCCCTATACAAACTTAACTGTCCATCCCATCCAGATTCCTCATTTCAGGTAAGTTATTACGGCAGCACCAGTGGTAATTGTCTCCAGCACTTTAACCTCCTTCACCTAGCCTGTTTTCTTAATTTTTTCTGTGTTCTGTATTCGGTCGCGTGGTATATAACGTATTTCCCCACTTTAAGCATTATCTCCAGCTATTGGCTCTGCATGCATCGGTTGGATTTTCGTTGATGACAAATCTCAAGTCAAAATCACATTCTATAAGATTCCTGCACGACTTTCCCACTTTTTTCTGTTTTGAGTATTGGGATCTATCCAAATGGACGAAAGTACACTCCAGAGAATGTAATTAAATCCATAAATGCACAGTAAAACAGATTAGATTACAAGTAAAAAGTAATTTAAAAACTGTTTTTCGCTTGACTTTTGCCAGATGAGTGCCACGACTTCAAAGCGTTATGAACTACCGCACAAAACGTGAAACAGACAGATTGATTAGTCATTAACAGTAGTGACATTTGGCCGAGTAGGAGGACTCATCTATTTTTGTCCAAAAGGGCGCAGAGAGGTACAAATTCCTTCCTCATTACGCATCCGTATTGTATTAGTGAGCCAACTAGAAGCAAGAGACCAACACTTTCGCGTGCTTTCAAAGGGAAAGTCACAAACCATTGCCTTGAAGGTACCAAGGTTACCAAAATGTGGGGACCTCTATGAATCTCTATTACACTACATGTAAGACTAGTCCTTCTATGGTCGCCTATACTGAATGATCCCCATTTCCAAATGCAGTTCGTTTGCATTGAGCGCAACGCACTAACGACTTCAATTACTCTTTTACTTAGGTGGATCCAAGAAATACGTCACTCTTCTTTAATAAATTATCTTCCAAAGTTGTTAGATGAGTTTGCTCACCTAATGCAAGGTTTTCGTTCTTTACAAGCATTACGGAACTTTGTGGAATTTGTTGATGCTCAATCTACATTCAAATTGGAATCAACGATAGCATAGTGAGCTTAATGAAATTATTAACGAGATTGCTCATTTAAAATGAAGGGTTTCGGGTCCATTAAAAGCGATGGGATAAATTATTGTTGAAACATTACTCATAAATTACTGTCAATTTGGTATGAAATACCATCCGTGAATAGGGCGATCTGAGGTCGATACTTAAAAGGCACATTTATCCTGTCAACCTACCGTTTAGGATGGGGAGAAAATTATACCAGTATTTTCAATGCAGCGAATTTATTTAAATGGCATAAAATATCAGTATTGTGGGTTCAAGACTTTCCAGGTTTCATGAACCCATCCTTCCCGCCTCCAACAATAATTATAAACGAATCCTTACATTTTGAATATTTTATAATGTAGTGACTCTTGAACCATTCGGCTGGGGTAAAAATACTTCGGGACTTAATATGGAAAGCTCGTTGCCTGTCCACTGAGTGGGGCTACCTTCCAGGTGTCAGTATTTTCCTTGTGACGGCTTGAGTTTCAATCGGCTACGCTACAAATGGATGTTTTCACTGATCTCAATTACTCGAATTCACTTTAACTGTCCGGCAAAGGGATTGATGTCCACAAACAGAGCTGGTGTATCCAAATTCATTGTCATTACCCCTTTCGTTAGGCGTGCACATGCACACACAGAGTGAGACACAGAGGCACCATTTGTTTTACATCAATCATTTGGAGCTTAACGAGGAGGTGAAAGCCCACCAAGACTATCTACGGAGAAAGCCAATTCAAGCTCCTTTCATGTTACTTCATATCTATTAAGAACCTCCAACGTCGAATTTGGCCTACTAAGATCGAAAGAGCGCTATCAGTGACCGCCTCCGTAAGCCGAATTCATCAGAATCCGAAAATAACATCGAAAGGCACTTGAGTTTGTTTTGCGCGCTCTCTTTAGCATTTGTATTCTGCGTGCACAAACAAAGGGAAAGTAAATAAACAACTTATGTTACTTTTCTCGTTTACTTTGCCTAAAATAGCGACAACGGAATCTTATTGCTTTAATCATATACAGAATTAATAAGTGTTTGTAGGTAATTTTTGAAACCCCATTCCATGACTTACGTGGTTTACGTATATCTTGTTCATTGTGAATCGCCTTCTTCACACGTCAAATCAAAAATGCCACAAACGGTGCATCAACGAATGTGGAGGGTTTTGTGCTGGTAAAAATGAACAATACGGGATATATCGAGAATCTGCCTTGTCCTACGTAGCATTAACAAAGGAATTATTATTCCTTCGGATTGCACACTTAGTTCCCCGACTCTTAGGAGGAATCAACCTAATTCAGCACGGGCACTTACGACTTACCTTTGTCCTAGTGATGCCACTCAAGTGTGTGAAATTGTATTCAATATAGATAAAAGTACCCGGGCAAACTGTTTAGGTAACGTGCATTTTCCCTTTAGAATCATTTACCATCTAGATGTTCACTGATGTTAAGGGAAATCCGTTTTTTACTATAGCATACAGTGTGGAGTCATTTCTCGTCAGATTATCAATTACTTTAGTGGTTCATTCAATGATTTTAGTAAATGAGATCCACTGAATTATTGTACTACTTCTACGTCAATTATATCTATCCAAGGCAGTCATTATATCTGGTTTTTATGCAACTGATTTCCATTTCTTATTTCTACTCCCAAATTTACAATCGGATCAAACAATGCAAAACCCAAAACTTTTTCAAAAACCAATAAAGTGCAACGAAATGCTAATCCTTCTGCCAAATCTCCCACTCAATTGGGAAGTACGCGCCCTTGGAACTATCCCTAATAGGCCTGTTGGTGATAAAAAGGCATCGTAATTTATTGACGGAAGGTTTCGTCTAGAAAGAAAACAATTTTCGGATAAGGTCAAGTGGCCCAATGACCGAAACCCTTGATTGGTATTCTAAGATAAAAACCCATCAAAGTTGCTAACACTTGCCTGTGAGTGATGCTGTTTGAATTCGTGGGCATCCAAGCCGAAGTGGCCATTAATATGATGCTCCTGTTAAAATAGAATTGCTCTGCTTGGGCAAAAAATACACAGTGATGCGAGCAGCTATTATACGGATCAAAATGTTGCCTCTGGAATAAAACACTAGCTACGAAATAGTTTTTGGAAATATTTTACTCTGTTGAGTTTGAGTTGATAGTGATTTTGGAGCTAAAAAGCTTACGATATGTAAACTCCCGTTAGTGATATTGAGAAGTAGAGTAAGACTTAGCACAATACAGTAACATTCTTTACCGGAGCCAAACTTTCCTCAACATTTTAAATTAACTAAATACCTATTTCGCTTTGAATTTGCATGTTTTGGGGAACATTAAAATTGGGAATATTTTGCAGCTTGGTGAAGGAGGTACACTTACTTTTTGGATGGTTTCGACACATTTTCCCATGAGTGGCGAGGTTAAAAGAAAAGTAGAATTGCAGTTCCCGTTGCGACCTCCCGAGGCCACTAGCGTCCCACTCACCCCGCTCCTGACGGCTGCGGCTAAATGCGCAGATGCAGTCCGCCGTCCCCAGTGAGGCGATCCAGCCAGTCGGTGGGAAAAAGCGGCGTCAACTTCTCGCTTTAATTGGCCCTAAAAACGTTTACCTTAAAGTAACACGAATATTCAGGGTAAGGTAATTCAGTCAAGGCGCCCACATCTGAGCCCGTGTTCTTAACATTGGATGCGGTAGCAGGTAAGAAGCGATTGCGTGAAGTCGATGTGAATACCTTCACTAAAAAAAAAATCTTTTTTCAGTATTTCCGCAACCAAAATTGCCGAAGCGGTTGCAACAGACATGGTCCATAGAACAAGTGTCAAAGTCAATCCCTAAAAACCTCCTGACTTTTACACTCCAAGTGAATTGTCTATTCAAGGCAATAAATATTTAGGATATGAAAAATCTAAAACACAGAGACTAGATGAAACTGAATGCATTCGGAAATAAAACAAAAGAAAAGTGCAGAAGTGAAAGTGGAGACATGCATGCTATGCACAATATCAGTATGATGACTGACAGTCCGGTGAAAATAGGAATGGAGATACATGAATGCATGGCACAGTACCCCATGGAAGAAAATGCACTTTTATGCTTGGTGGTATCACAGAGGACGAGGATTTGCAATGGATAGCTGAAAGTAACTAATTTGTCACTGGAAACTTTTGTTGCGAACAAAAACAAAATTTCCGTAAATTTCTTTAAGAATGCTGCTGCGGCACAAAAGAAAGAAGTGAAAAGTGCTACTTGTGCATTTAATTACATGCAATAAAAAGTGGAGGGGAGTTATTTTTAGCATAACCAGCCAATTTAGAGGAATGCTATGCCCCACAGGCAATTAAGTATTGAAACACTTGATCATCGAAAACACTGCAAAATTCTAAATGAAGCGTGGCTCGTCCAAAAAGAAGTTATGTTATGATTTCTGGACTCATCTGAAAGGCGTTTTACTTCTATTCGAATGACTGGCGGAAAAAGGTGACGATTTTTCATACTATTTAAAATAATACATCATCGACAATTATGCCATAACCAGCCAAAAGGATCAAGGATTCTAGGTGATATTTATTGTTTTAGATGTTTGACATCCCATGTCAGAGTTCATGTCACGTCACAGTGGACATCTGTGGCATGCAAGCGGCGAGCTCTCAGGAGACACCCAGCCACTGGCAGACCTACCCGAAACGCTCAGCATCTCTCTACTTCTTTAGCACTCCGAGCTCCACCGCCCACCTTCGCCCGACGTGGCAGCAGCGTTCGACCCTTCCATGGGGCCATTCAGTGTGGCCATGGCGCCCCTATGTGCCCTCCGTCGCCCACCGACGGGTACCTCGCGCCTCTCACGACACAGTAAGAAATAGTGGTGGCGGTGATGGAGCTGAAGGCCGAAACGGGGAAGGTACCTGGTACCTGCGCCACGAAGACTGTCGCCTCCTGCCCCCAGGTGGATGTGATGATTGGGCCAGAAAGCTTGCCAAACATCACCGCTACTACACTCGAGACTACGCTTCGGAGACACGTCGTGCGTACATAAAAAGTGAATTTTTTATCTCCTACACACGTATCACTTTGGCTTATGCGGTCACATGCATTATTGTTTCAGAGAATCCAGGATGCCCCAGAGACTTTGAAGTCACCTGCGGAAAAATGTTCCCTCAAAATTTCACCAAAAATGACTGGAAGCAAGGTAACTTTACAGTAGGTAAGTCCCTTACATTGATATAACACAAATAAGCAAATTTTATACGAATTTTATCTTTTGGCGGTTGGAAGTGATTTATATAGAAATGAGGCTCTCTGTTTTAATAGTCGAAATCGCTGACAAGTGTTTCATGCTTAAAATCACATTTCAAAAGTCTTGGTAGGCATTAAATTTAGATCTAGCAATAATATCCAGTGTCATTTTTGCATTGTGAGGTATCAGTCATATGTACTTCGGTGATAGGCTTTGCAGTTCATGCCACTGGTCTATTTATTCTCGCCTTCATGAAATGTTCGTACAGGCCAAAAGCGATTGCTCCTCACTTTGATGTTCAAACATGCCTTGCGCCTTGAACTATTGGAGTAAATGACCAGTGAACCAATGCCTTCGCGCAAATTTCAATCACCGCTGGGATGGTGTGTGTTTTCACCACGTTTGAAGCGGCTGTTCGAGTAGAACTTGAATTTCTCACACCAAATCTGATTTCATATTTTTTGTTGTTGTTGTTGTGCACGCGGACGAAATAATATTGCAGCTTGTGACCACAATTGCTTTGAAAGGAATGACGTTCAGTTACCCACTTTTCTCTGTCTAGTCAAATGCTTTATCCTCTTAAACTTATTTTCAAGTCACTAATAACTTTTTTTCATGCTAAAATTATCGCTTGTCATGAGAAGTCGGGTGTGAAGATGGTAGCCCACAGATAAAATGCATCTTTTATTTAATACCAGAACATTTGTTGTGTACCCCATCCCCTACCCCAAATTGCGCCATAAAGGCAATATGCATTCAGATGTCAGTCAGCGATTTCGTCTTTTAATCTTCTTTATAGCCCTTGTCATGCAAATTAGCCAGACCTTTTGGTGGTTTGGGAAGTTCAACCGCTTCCAACCGTTCTTTCGGTTTAATGTGAAACGAACACTAAAGTCGGACATCGTGGAGTACAACGATAAAATTATCCTCACCAACGCCTGGCCAGGTACTTGCGCTTGTCCCGGCAAGTTGGTAGTTGGCAAGATGTATCTTCTCCTTACGCACTCCCTGGTATCACGTCAGATCCTGCGGATCTCTACCGAGAGTGTCTTCTTGGAGAAACCCAAGAAGTATACCCCACTCATTCTGGTACGCACCTTCCAACTCCTCGCTTACCCCTATTTCTTAATGGCTTTAATCGGATTCTCGTTCAAGAATACACTAAAGCAATGCATGAGTGAGAATTGCATAAGTACAACTCCTTGGGTCACATATCCCACCTGCTAAGTGGCGTCTGACCACTCATGCTTCAAATTCTCGATCTTATTTTGAGTTGATGGAACAATGTTAAAAGATTCGGGAGCATTTCCCTTTAAAATTGAAAAACTCTAATCCAATAATCATGTAGGAATCACAAATTATAATCATTTAACAGAATTTTCGTTCATTTTCAACTAAGCCTAAATTAGGAAATCTCGTTTGTTTAATAGTCTCCTGATCACCCCAACTTAAGCGAGTGAGTGATTGGGAGGGGAAAGGTGCTTCCTCACGCGCAGTTGCGTGGGTAGTCGCGAAATGCCACTGTTTCTGCAAATCTGGTTGTCCGATCACGCCATCTCCGTGTGCCCCTTCAAAGGGACGACGCACACCCACATGGTTGCAATAAAGCCGAACAGATGCTTTACTTGGCTTGTCTTCTGATACTTTTATGCCAGAAGAGCAATAGTGAGCTTTCACACAGTGTCCACAGCTGATCTCCGGCTGCCGTTATCTACTCTTTCATGTTCCTTGATTTTCCACTTCAAAGTTATGGAGCATGAGACTAAGTAATTTCCTCAAACACCCAGCACAAAAATCGACGGTGAAATAAATAGGGATTAAAATGTGCAAGATATAACAGAAAACTAACTGAAAGCGTTGGCAGCGTTTAGTGAGCGAGAAACATGCCTGAGTTAGCCCAATCTGCCGATCTGCTTCAATAGTAAACATGAATTTGGCCTATATCACAACTGTACTTCGTAGTTCAAGAATCCGCGCCCATCATAGTTAATCAGAGGATATTTGGAAGTTAACTATCTAAAATTTGCTACAAATAATACGAATGCTTAATTTCCATTACAGAGGCCAGTCCAACCGCTCTTGAAGAATTTTCAAGAGTACTGCACGTGCAAGCTCAATGAGTAGAGAACTATAATCATTCGATAAATTAATGGCCAGATCTACGTCTTACAAAATCTTCACTTGAAAAAAGTAGTGGAGTCCAGAGCTATATACACACATTTATCTCAAACCAATCCAAAAGGCCAATTATTTTGAACAAATTGAGTTTCATTCCCGATTGGCTTTGAAAAAAGCAAGGTTTAAGGCATGCTTCCTTCAAAGATTCCGTAAAAGCGATTAATTCCCTTATAGTGCTGGATGGGTTCATGCCCACGCCACGGGTCCAGGAGTGGGAGGTATGGACAAAATCGTTTGAATTGGCGCTGGCAGAACAGAAGACATTGGTAAGGAAACGGCAGTTTTGCAAATCTCCCAATCAAGTACGCGTTTGGAACGAGCTGTTTCTCTGTATCAACCCTATTCCCCTTTCTCGGATACACTATACATATATATATACCCAGAAGGATTCACGATTAACAAAGAGCACAAATCATCGGGATTGTGTTATTGTTGCTTATTAAATACACTTCATCTAGTCACAGACTAAAGCTGAAATGGTTTTGACGGAAATGATGCAGCTTTTTAATGTTTAAACAAATCAATGCAGCAGATCCATTTGATCGCTCAACCACCTCTTCCATGTCATCTACTTACGAAAACATTTAGTTGGAATGTTCTCTGGGCATTTGTGAAAGAGGGAATCCCCACCAACTGATAATCCAACTGTTTACATAATAACAGTGTAGGACATTAGTTTTTAATCAGTTTAGGTGAATGATCAAATAATTGTGAGAGCTATGCGCCGCAATGAAGGCGTAATTCATTTAGTGAGTGAAGAAATATTTGGACGGAGAACAAAAATGGCTCCAACGAAATTAATAAGGTCAATTTCTAACAAATGGTAATGCGACTTGTAAAGAAATGACTTAGGATCAATTTGGTGACACTTCACTTCATGATTGACCCAGTTTGGCCGAAAACGTCATCCGCAGGGAGCAGCAGGCTAGCATACTCAGTAGCGTATTGATCATAAAATACATTTGGTAAGTCCGGTTTGACTTATTATGAAAAGGGATGGTAAAAAGGCATACAAGTTTCACTTTTCAATGCAAATTAAATTCAATACTTCTGCTTCAACATGATGCTACAAAAGTACAAAAAAGGAAGATAATAAAGGAATCATAAGGCGTCAAAGATAAGTAGTTGACTGCGAGAAAGACTGGCAGTTCACACAATGACCGATGAACGCGTCATGAGGCGGCTTGAGGTCGCACCCCGCTCCAGCAGGATGATGATCGCAGTTGATGGAGTTCGTTGTCTACTTCACCTCCTGCAGGCGCTTGCACTGGTCAAGCACGAAGAAGAACGTGGATGCCTGCAAGCGATTAGGACAAGCGCACTTTCGTTCAGTGAGTTAGTAACAAAAAGAACGACAATATGATTAACTTAAAGTTACCAATGCATTCCCTACCTATCTGTCATCACGCGTGGCACTCATTACGAGTTGGGAGGTGCTCTCAACACCTTTTACGGAAACCACAATTCCATATGCACTATTATTACTATTATCATCAAATGTTCTGAACTACAAGAAAGGAACATTTAGATACTACACTCAATGACTTTTGAGTCGAGTGGTGCATACTGTAGTGTTAAAAACTTAGAGCAAGCTCGGCTAACAGGGACGCCGAGCATTCCTAGTCGACTTTGGGCGTTTCGTTCTCTGTTCGTATAAATCATATACGAAGGCTTGCGTGCCCCATACTCGCACAGCAAATCTTGGATTCAATTTGTCATTATCTAAGCATTCTGTAATGTTAAGGTCAGGCTTGGCGTTTATGGCGACTGGGACAAAATTTACCATAAAAAATAGCCTGAAAATAGATGTTTACATTACAATTATAGTGCACCTAGTCTAAATATCAATGTCGTTAGGAAAATGGTGATTTATTTAATTTTACCTGGTCTAAGATCAAGGTGATATTCTTTGAGGTGAAAGTTAGTGTCACCTCTCCACCGTACTCGTCACCTTCTTCACGTGACAGGATTTTCTGAAAAAAAGTAGTAATTTTTTTATGGTAAAAGTTGGTGTAGTGTAACTTTGCCCATGCATTGTCACCACAGCAGATCCACGTAGTAGTAATTGAATTACATAAACTTTGTTTCTTTAAAGCCATGTCAATGAAAAAATGCATACGATATGATCAATTTCCTGGTGCGTGTATGAAGAGTACATTACAGCCAAACTTCGCTGTTGTCCCTATTGATGGCCAACAAATCCAAGCCAAAAGTGGATTTGGCTTGCATGGGACTTTGCAGAAGAGAAGAGGAGCACATACCCTTACGCGCTTGAGGTTGGAGATGGGATAGTTTAGGAGGATGACACGGCGTACGGGATGGAGAAAGCAGATGGAGCTACGACAAATGGCCACAATAATTGGAATGGGGGATTTGGCGACATCAATGTTTTCGTAGTATTTTTGGAACACTCGGGGGGACTGGGACTCCGGAAGTGCCTTTAGGAAGCCGTGGAAGCAGGTTGCACCATAGAGGGGCCAATGTGAAATCGCAACTGTAAAGGGAAAGACTTTTAAGGTCTGTAAATGCATCGGTACATCTGTGAGTAAACGGCTTCACATTTAGAGTAACACTTTAAAGTTGGATTATGAAATAGCATCAGTATTTTACGATCTTATTTCTATAATTCACTGTTGTAGTCTTATTCGTCTGCCAAGGTTTTACATTTCGTTTTTGAATAGGACGTCAAGGTAATTAGTAATTTAATTTGCATTCAATGAGGACCCTCTAAAATTGGAGTGATTTGAAAGCGTTTGAAAACATAAGGCAAATAACTCCGACTGTGGATATCAGGAACTAGGCAGGTCCTACTTAAACTCCTCGCAAATAAAATGACGCCGCCGTAGTTTTAATTAAATTTTAAGGAATTTTACCAGCATTCACCGGATGTTTAAACGTTCTATTTGATCTTTAATTGCGAATGAATTTCCATTGCATAGGAAGTCAATTTCCTTTGTCGTGGTGGACATAATTCGGTGATAAACAGAATCCCTGTTGTCGTACTCTGGTAAAACTCATTCGTAAAATAAGCAGCATCTTTCACAGATGAAGTTTAAGTGGACATATGTCAGTGAAAAAGACAAAATAATATCAATGCATAGGAGCCACTCACTAATGAGGTTTTTGCGAGCTTCCGCTGGGGTCATTTCGGGGCATTTTGCAACGGCGTCTAGAAGCTGTCTTGTCCATTCCCGTTTCCGAATGCCAACACCACGAGGCATCAGATCAACCGCCTCTTCGCTACAATAGGCATGAATATCACGAACGATCTAAACGTCCGTGTAATACGAACATCTGAGGAATTTGAAAGTGCTCCTCACTAATGTCTTCTCGTATTTTGGTGTGTTATTCATTATAAATACGAAGAGGTTCTGGCCCTAGCTTTCTTAGGTAAACTAAGAATACAAGAGCGTGTACCTTTACAACAAGTCTCTTTTTAAGAAATTCAGACAGTTTTGATTATTAGCTTGTTTGATTTAGCTTCCTGATAGCTAGTTGAACATTTAGATAGTGATGAAAACGGCAGTTATAAACTCCTCGTACACTTTGCCCTTGGATCCAGATAGACCGAAAAGCTTTTGCTGTCTTTTACGCAAATATCTGAAAATTTCATGAGCAATAGAAAATAATTTACTTCAGTTTAAAATATGCCTCTTATTTGCAGATAGACTTGCCTTTAACCTTAGAGCAAAGTCATCAATTTAATAATTATATTAAATCAACGCTTTTAAGGTGTTTTGAATAAAATTAGCATTACATCAGAGAAACCAACCGAAACTTGGGGTATTCGAGGTTATGCTTACTGAGTTAGTTTTGAGCCATTTGAGAAAATAAAGGAGAGGTAGACAGCCATCTGTATGAGCTCCCGCTGAAATTAAGGTTAGAAATGGTAAAGTGATGTACATTTATTGTATTTTTGCCAAAGTAAAAGGATTCTCACGTATTGTCTTTCATCGAGCTGACCGTCATCAGTTGAAATCCAGTAGCCTGAAAGAAATTGTTCAACCACCTAAAAAGAAAATACAAAATTCTCTCCCTATTAATGGCGACATTCTGGAGGTTTGCTCGCCAAGGCCTCTGTTCACGTTGGTAAGAATTTTCAAATCGCTTCCATTTCATCGAGTACTGTTTAAGTGTCGGAATGGATTCTTTCGTATTTGCAGTAAAAAAAGGGCAAAACATTCACCTGATCGAATAGGACCTTTATGTACTCCGGGGATCGCTTCGTCAAATCGGGCTGGGTCCACCAGCACACCCGTCTGTAAAAGAGGGCTGAGTTTTCGTTGCCCTCATCATAAGGGCAAGAGTCAAAGTAGTACGTTTTTAACTCAATTGGAATCAAGCTTAGGTTAGCGATTCCTAAAAAAAAATTTCATGCACCAAGAAAGAGATGCAGAGTGGACTATGGACGACGTTGATAGCAGATGTTTGACATTACCATCCAGAGGCTTCGAGGGCAGGCGGAATAGAGTGAACTCCAGCCTCTCTTTGGTCTGGGTGATGTTGAGCTGCTCAGAGAGCATAAAGGATACCTCTCCGATTTGAGACATGGGCGAGACGTTAACTGATATTGCGCAGCGCGCCGGCAGGTTAATCCGATGCTTGCAAGTCGTCTCGCCCCTCTTCATTAGGAGGAAAAAGAAAAGTCACAATGTGAAACAGAATATGAGGTAGTCTACCTGCCCTAAAACACGTTGCCCTTCCCCTTGAAGGGAGCGTGATTTACGTGGTGGATAATTTTATTATCTTCAAAGCTACTGGAGTGGTACTTGGCTTTACTTTTAGGTGGGGAAAGGGAAGTTTATGAGTGTAAGGAAGGACCTATTACAAGACGTGAAAGCATTAACCAATCTTTCGTGCCCACTCACCAAGTAGGCATCAACCTCAGCGTCGGGCGGAAGGACCTGGCGCGGGCCGTACTTCTCCACCTTGTCTAGGTTTCCTATCACCGTCGCGGCTAGAGCTGCAGATTGACACAGAGGGAAAGGCGCTGTGGGTAAGTGAGCCTATTATGCACCCAACCAGTCAAACTGGATAAGACAAATCACTGCTAATTAGCGGCACCTACCGACCCATCGTTGGGGGTAGGGACTAAAGGTCAGCTCCCAGGGAGAAGCCTATTTCAAGGGAGAAAATTTCCATCATTCTCTATAAAAGCATGTTTTATAGAATGTACTTTAAGAATTTTATTAACTATTAGGAGCCCCATTTTCAAATTATTTCCCCGAAACAAAAGTTTTCGAATGCTGCATTTACCTGAATAAATGCTTCCTTCGAATCGCCGAGTCGTATTTTATAATATCAAAATGTGTTACTAAACTTTTTACAATTAATTGCCAAGTGCCTTCTACCAAGGAGAGTGTTATAATAGAAACACAAAACACTTTGAAATCAGGGTTAAAACCTCCAGGATCCACAGTCCCTTTAATGTCCCGCACATCCCTGTCGCAAATTCGCAAAATTTTCATTGAAACCTAACTAATTTGCAGCCACGACCTTCCTCACTGAACTTTATTTTTAACCTGACACTAACTCCAATTTTGTTCTTTTGTTTTTGCTTTCATGTCTCAAAAAATCCTTCATTTTTTAATCATCTTTATTGAGCTGTGCCTTCGTTATATGACTTTTGTGCCACATGAAGTGTACTTAGTTTACCGTCCCGACAATGTCAAAGAAAGGTTAGCCATCAAGTTTGCAGTTGCATTGGTTACTCGGTTTTACCCGACTGTGAGTGAAGAAGACAGCAGCCAGTGAGCGTCCTGTGGGGGTGACAAGGGCACACCCTAATGTGGACGTGCCAGTGCGGTAAATAGCCACTAGACCATACTGTGCTCTACTTCTACATCAATTGCTTACTTTTTTAGGCTAAGGCATTAAACCAACTTTTAAATGGAATCAAAATGCTTTGAAATCTTGATTTGGACCATATGATAGGGATAAGCATTTAGTGACATGCGTCAAACGGTTGCAATTCCTTTTGATCTATTGCGGGTTCTGGAACCTAACCTCGCGAATGTCCAAGGCGCAGCCGTACTCTATCATATGTAAATACTTATAAGGATGAAATTCATAACGAATAGATCCAGAAAATGTGTTGTCGTTTTAGAATTGAAAATCGCGTGTACCTGTGAAAAGTACTGAATATGGGGAATGAAATGTGCAAAAAAGGAGTAGCAGTAAAGAGGAGGAGCGCTGTGGCTGGCAATAGAAAAAAAATAAACAGTTGAGCACGGATTTACAACATCATTGTGATTGCACTGGTTTACTTCTTAAAACATTAACTAGTGCCTCGAATAGCAATTTCTTAGCCACGAGAACCGCCCTTTCCATCTTTATCTAGCTTTTGCTGGTACTAAGGAAGACTAATGGTAAGCGGTTTAAGAGGAGCTTACTTTGGGCTTTCTGGTCATGAAGCGTGATGCCCTTCGCGTGTTCGAGAAGCATTGCCCTCAGCTTTGGTGAGCAGGTCAAGAACATGGTGCAAATGGCATATATTGTCCAAACCATAGTCAACGAATTTCTAAATGGCAGTAAATATACAAATATTGGTAAAGATTAAAATACAATCTATTTGATGCACAGACCACAGAAAAGAGATGGATTCAGAAAGCACGTTACTGCTATCTTTAACTGACAGTTTGCTCAGTCTGCTAGTCTGCTTAGAGCATTGTCAGGCAAAAAATAAATAACAAAATCGGACATTCATATCGTCCAAATTTGTTAACAAAAAAATTCTTAAGATGTTTAAACTAACTTCATAAGATTTATTAAATTACGTAAGCATTGCTATGGTTTCCAGATCAAACTTACGGATTTTCACTCTCGTTCTTGTTCGTCTGTTTCACCAACTGACAGAAGACCTCGTCTTGGAGGGCTGGATGACGCTTAGCCAACTAAAGAGAAACAAAAGGTTCGGGCAACTTGGCTTCACTTCAAAGAATGGTAGTTTCATGCAGCACACAACTAGCCTTCAGTATTCGTTGAACAAGGGCGACAGGTGGTTTTGATGGTTGACACTCTTGACAGAGTTCGAGGATAGCTGGATAAAAGATGGCAGTTGTTTTAATATCCTTCTTCCTGAAGTTGCTTTGATCGTAAATTCTTGACTTTCCATTCACTAAGTCTAATGGTGCTGCTGCCTGCATGCACTGCCAGTCAACATGCCCTATATTCTACGTGACTGCTAATGGGAACAGAGGGCGAGCTCCATTTTATGGTCTGCTGCATCTTGTGCAAAGGAGAATGCACCGACATAAACATGATCGCAGTGTTATTCACCTCGCCCTGAATCAAAACAACCGCCTAAGTGTAGGCCTAAGTGCGATGACCGTTCCCATGAATCTTTGTTTCTCCCAAATCACTGAAGCCTCTCATTTAATTAAACTTTTTCACTTCACTCAACCACCTTGCAACTTAAGTTTTTATTTAGTCACCTCTAAAATTCACCAATCCTTTATAAGACAGTTAGGCTGATTTAAACGCCTTTAAAAGCCTATGTATTTATATAACTCATTGTGTTAACCTTCAAATATCCTTGATGCAGATTCGACTGCATTAGGATCCGATAATTTGATCAAGGATCCATACTTCAAAGGTGTTGATTGCCATGAAAGTTGTTTTCCAATGCTCCTCCTGAAAAACCGAGAGTGGGCGACGTTAAATGCATTGAAATGCAAGGCAGATCATTTCGAGCTGAGAAGTGTGACAGAGACTGTGATTTTCACAGCTATTTTTTGAGAGTGAAACCAAATGCTAACCTAGCTACAGCTCTTTCAAATGTAAGCAATCATTTACTTGTCCTTAAAGTGTTCCCTTCCAAAGGGAACCAGAGCCTCCAGTACGTTGCTGTAGGAAGAGCGCGTGGAGGTGATAGACATGGTATCCGACATATAATCAACGTAGGTCTTTTCACGACCTCCTCTTGGCGGTTCTACGGGTCAACAATGGCTAGTTATATGGGAAAGGTATCCATACATGAGTCTTATGACAGAGGATTGCTTATGGTCCCCTTGAATTTATAATGCTGCATCACCAGTTTGCAGTAGTTTCACTTAAAAATAGTTAAATGATCAAAGATTACATAAGCATTTGATTGCATCATGTGTTAAAGTTGTAGATGAGCATAAAAATCTAAAGCACTAAACCAGTTTACGAGTTTGCTACTTAGGTAGGATAAACAAATGCTACCATTGTGTCCAGTGTGACTCACTTGGTACATCAGAAGTATTCTGCCATTTTAGCTAAAAAATAAAATCATATAGGAAACCAAATCAGAAAATCTTTCCGCTACAAATGTTACTGTAAGAATTTAGCCACCGACAACAGCATAGCTTCAGCAGGCCTATCCAAAAGCCAATTGCCGATGAGTTTTTGTATCGTAAATATCTTATCACAGGTAACATCAAAACAGGTTCTGTCCCCACAATATACACTGGCAGCTTACATTATATTCAGCAACGAAAATGTTGATAAGGCGCTTCAGATCATCGGCCTAAAAAGGGGAGTGGAGCACGATTTACAGGCATTATAAAAAATCAGAATAGAAGCTAGCAAAAGCAACATACGTAGCTGGTGTACATATCATAGACGTAGCCTTTGTCGTCTCTGATGGTAACGTAGTTGGGTTCATCAGTGAGACGAATGCCCTTGGTGTTGACGAGGTACTTCTGGCCCGCGATCGTTCGCTGCGGCATCGGGCGCTCTTTGAACGAGGCGTCACAAGTCACGATACTGGCCAGCGGCACCTCCGCGTAGGGCTCCAAGTTGCGGTCGTTCTTTTTTTGCTGCACAAAGCGGATTGACCTGTGCCCCACTACGCACCAGTTGTACACGCGCGATTTTTCCGATCCGTCTGTAGGCTAATAAAATGTGCAAACATTTGAAAGGAAATGTTTGCTACTTAGAAGTTTTAAGCAAGAAGGCAAAAAAAGTAGGTCAAGGTAGTGGTCAGTGAAATTAAATCTTGTGAAATACATGCAAGATGGCTTTGAATTGGGTGGCCACTACTTTTGCATCAGCATCATAGCACCGTGATTGCATTGAAATCATGAAAGTGCCTCCCTAAAGGGCATGAAGGGCCGTTACATGGTCCCGCTCACACCCACCTCAATGGCATAGAAACGGCCAAAGTAGTAAGGACATTGTTTCGCTGCATCGATAACCATTCGTTTCACAGCTGTCGGTTGGAACAGCAATTGGTTTAGGGAACTGTTGAGAAGAATTTCACCTAAAAATAAACAAAAAAGCATGTCCGAGTCACTTTCGCTTGAATGAAGGAGAAAAAATCCTGTTTATATCAAAGACTTGCAACCTCACCGATAGTATTTCGAAGGATGCGCACATCGTTGGATGTCAGACGAGGCGTAACGTTTTCCAAGACATCACCCACAATCTGACAGAATACTAGATCAAGGAGACGTTTTGGTTTCAACTTTTCCAGTGGAGTTATTAGCTAAAAAGGACAAATAAAACAGTTTAGTTGTTTATAAGGTTTTGCAAAAAAACGGAATTACGGTAGTTTCACCAAATACGCAACTGCTAGGGTCGGCTAACAGATATACTTTGAGACAATGGCTACTGCTATTCACGTTTTTGAAATACAGAGACCATGGCTACCTTGTACAAATGCATACCGTATAGTTATAACGGAACGTATAATCCAGAAGTGACTTGAATACTGTATCAGCCGGTTAAATTACTTTCAAACATTGTGCAAGTCATTATTTGAAATATTCTAAGTCATGCTATGCTACTTTATTGTGTAAAGATTACCTTTACAATCCAGTCACATACTTCATGTTCTAGTAAACCCCTGACAGCTTTTATCCATCTCATTGTCCTAGAGGTATCGTTAACCCATTTCACAATACCAGCGGGTATTCAGCATTGCAAAGTTGGATAAGTTACCTCTTTTCGAACACGTAGAGACCATCGGGCATGCTTGTAGGTGAGGTAACGCATCTCGTGTGGCGGGTATCCACTCAAGGTACCAGTAGTGCCGGGGAGGCCAATAGGCGGACCAGAGGGCACAGAATTGTCAGCCTGCACTGTCACGCCCTCGTCCTCGTCCATAGCCAACACACTAGCCGCTCGTGGCAGCTTCACTTTCGAGGGTCCGCTACCTCCGCCACTACCCTTAACGCTGCGTTTCCGTCGAATGCTCATGCGCTGCTTCGGCGGATCGTAGCGTTTTGCCGCCATCTTCCGTACCGCCTGTAGCCAACTCGCCTCCCTTGCCGCCGCCGAGGCGCCACGTGTCTGCTGCGGTTGCTGCTGTGTGAGAAACATCAGAGAGTAATTTCATCCGACCACCTCTAATATTATCTAATTTACGCAATTTAAAGTATGCAAATAAGTACCTATAAACTAAGCTACTAGAAAATATTCAGACGGCCTATCCTAAAATCGTCGGTAATTTATTGTCACGGTTGATTATTATGATTGGCATCACCAAGCTTACTTAGCATTCAAGTTCAGATTATTTTCTTTAAAATGAAAGGAAATATTTAAGAAATTGAAATAAAATGGTAAATGGACTTATTTATTTATAAGCAGCGTCTGTAATGAATAACTTACACCTATAGCAAAAATAAAATAATTCATATAGCAATCAAACAGCACTTTGAAGAGGCTTTTTAACAACCCAAATCGACGGGATGAGAGCTTAAACTAACTCACCGCGGTATCGTTTATGCCGTGGGTGGAGGAGGCCAGGGTGCCACTCATTTTGCGAGACCACGTGCTCCCGCCACCGGCGTTACTGATGGGCGGTCTAAAGTATCACGTAATGCGCTCTCAGTTACAGGTCGGCTCATGAGCGTTAGGCAGATGCGAGTAGAATGAGTCTACGTGTCAGTCACACAACCATCACAATTTCAAGAGTTAATTGTAATCCACCGTGAGTCATTAAGAGCACTTTAGGTATAAGGGCGAGCGCTTCAGTTGTCATAAGCACATACCTTGCTGCACTTCCATTCATTTGGTGACGTCGTCTGTCAAGAGATGGGTAACGCATCTGCACACTTCTGTCAAAGTTTCGCCTAAAGTAATGAAAGGAAACAGTAGAGTTGGAAGGTCACACCGTATAATCTAAGCTGTCTGTATGTTCCAAACAATCCTCGCGTATAAAAGGTATAGCTTTAGATTATTTACATTTGTGGTGCGCTACGATGCTGTTACTCACGCGGACTTGTAAGCGTCATTATCACGGAGGGTGCCGACAAACGGTGGTCCAAGAGCGTACTCCGAGGGGTCCATAGTGGTGGCCAGGAAGTTCTGGTCGTAGCCAAGACCCGAGAGTGCGAACCAGTCGGAAGGGAGCTCCGTGGCGCTCAGCATGTCCATCACATACCTATGCCCGCTCGGCTCAATCACTCCACCTTTGCGGTATAGGCTCACCGTCCATCCACGACCCAGGCGCGCTGTCTTGGCTCTGAAGGAGAGGTCAAATAGCAATTCCTTTCACGCCTGCTATGTTATTAAAAACAGCCTAGATTTGACTAAATCAACGGTATTATATGTTGCTTCCCTTAATATGGGTAATTTTGTGCCGGGAGTGGTCTTTGTAGATTTTGGTAGAAAATTGGATCAAATGCTTCCTTCGCAGACCACGAGAAGTTATTTCGAGACATGCCAACTTATGTGTCAAAAATTGACCACGATACTACCGTTTGTTAAACTTACATTTAATTTTCGTAGCGACATACAAAATGTTCTTTTCAATCTATGCTGATGACTGCGCAGTCTTGAACGACAATAGTGCCAATGAATCTCGCAATATTCCAACGTTGCCCATCGCATTACCATGTACTTCTTAAAAGTAGCTCAGTTACGGTAATTTCGTGCCATAAGAAAGTTGTAGAATAATATGAAGCACTATTCCACGCCTTTAACAAGTCTGAAGCATCACCGAGTGTTGGAAACAATTACATTTTACTGGCCAATAGAGCCAAAGCTTGTCAGTGCTGGACTCCACCAAGTCCAGACTGAGTACTAAAATCACAGGAGGAGTGTACTGTCAAAGTGACAAGCAAAGTAAATGAGAGTATCATCTGAACTAGTAATGGCTCAACTTTAAGTGATTATGCTCGGGCCTTGAATGAACATCAGTGTCTGTTGAAAACCTCGGTTTACAGTCAGCATTGCGTATTCCGTTCGTTGTCACCCAATAACCGTTTTAATTACGATCGACGGAGCAAAAGGTTCGTACTCTTGGTAAATCGAAGGAAAAGGCGGAAACGTACTTCAAACTGATGGCCTGGTTGGCAAGTTCATCAGCTCTGGTGAAGCAGACTGTGTGTATGTTGGCAGTGGTGCCTGCAGCAAAAAGATGTGCTTATGGATAAGAAAACGGGTCCAAACTCCGCAATCTGTGCGTGCATATTAGTTTTGATGGCCTGGAGTTGGATAAAACTGAAAAACTGACTATCGGAATATTGCCCCCAAATGGCATAACTAATGAAATAATTTTAGTCTTGAGTGCGAAACGAAGCGAGTAAATTCCGAATTATCCGCTTTATCGCAGGATGTTATATTTCATAGCCTTCGCCATTTTAATCTTCCTATCATATCTGCTTTAATGCACTAAAATAACTTAATGGACTAATCAGTCATCCAACGGTCGAGAATCGTAAATAAAAACGAAAATTTGTTTGCATAGATTCTTAGCTTTTCAGGTGAGCATTAACTTGAGCACTCATTATCACCATATTGTGTACTTGTTAAGGGGCCAAATTGTTTGCCTATCTCTGTTTGGTATTTTAAAAGCTGGTTAACCTGTTTTACGCAATATTTTCTTTGCGCGTGGTTTTAATAACAAAAGCTTAGTAACAATTTCTTCACTTCTTCAACTCGGTCGCAAAACCCGCGCTACTGATTTTGGGACAGACTTCGAGACCAAACGTACCATCGGGGTAGGTGAGGTAAAGAGCCATGTTCGTACCAGTGTAGTTCACGCGCCATTCCAGCATAGACGGGGGATAGGTTCTGGTTATGACAGGAGCTGTAACAACCCTATCTTCACAGAACCGTAATGACCGCGGAGGTGCGAATTGGCGAATATGGCTGTCGAATCGAAGAGTGTAATAATTCGATTGTAAAACAAAGCGCAGGAATTTTACGCTCTGCCAATGTAAGGGCAGTTGAAACTATACAGAAGGGATTTTTGGAATGTAGGCATTATTCTGGGTTACTTTTAAAAATACAATACCGTGATACATTACACTCCCTTTCGCGCAGTCAAAACCACACCACCAAGCGTTCATTTGAGTTAAACGTTCCGGAGACACAGTACGACAGGACCGTTTACATTCCTGAGAACTAATGGTACTGACTTCATTTACGAAAGCCTAGGCAAAAGCTCATACGAGAGCGAGGTCAAGCAGTGGATGATGCAATTTGACAATGCCCAGTTTGCACCATGCCCTATTAAAGCCACCTGATGACTAGTGGAGGGAACTAACCGGACAACGGCGGCCCTCTGGGACTTGGGGAGACGACCACAGGTGAGGATACCGGCGATGTGCATCCAGAGGCGTCTGTGACTGCGCCGCATTTCGTCCTGCGCAGACTTGTGACTGATTTCATGACGCGTGCGCTTCATCTGTACCCCTGTGCGCCCCGTCGACTTCCACCGCGTCGACTTTTGGCGAATGAGGTCCTTACGCGCGTGACTGAAAGTAATCTCCTCATCCTCCGAGTCCGTGGCGTAATCCAACTCACTGTTGATCGGCCAACTCAGCGTCTGATTCAGCAATTGGAAGAGAATTTCTCGGAACAGGGTGAAATTCGATAGCGCCTAAAGAGACAACCAGGGTAATTGTCAATACACAGCGCATAAAAGAGAAGTGATGGGTCCTGAGCACAGCTCTCTTATTATTAATGAGTCGAGCCAAACTATCCCACGCATTTACAGGGTACTGTCACGTAATTTTCCCATAAAATGAAGGGGTCAGATTTCCCAACTAGTGAAAAGCCACAACATAGGAAAAATTGTGGCCACTGCTTGGTAAAGCAGTAATCATGGCTATCATTCTGCTATGCATCGTAATTATGGAGGGACCACTTTGAACATCCAACTCTTATTTACCCACATCGTTTTCAATGCATCTGTGAAGCAGGTACTCAATAGTAAACATTAGTTCACATCTCAGCTCTGCTGAAGCTGCTAAAGAGTTTGACGAACCTACGAGATGCATCGATGAGTATGAAATGCAATTTTTATTCACAAACGTGACAATCTTGCTTTTTGATAGTTTCCATTAGAGGAATTATCATATTGCTTCTTAAATTTGTCAACACTCAACCTGAACCCGCAAATAACCTTACATTTTAAATAAACAAGTTTATGAAATATTTTACGCATGCTGTAAATGCATTAAAGACAGTGGGATTTTCCTCACCATTTGATAGAGGTAACTTCCCATCAAGAATTCGTCCATCATATCCCCAGTGTTTTGATAAAGCAGTCGCGTAATCTGCAACAGTTATGTGATAAGTGAAAGCTGTTGTCTATTTGATTCCAAAATTAAAAATTGCAAATGCTTTTACCAGTTTTGAGGCCTCGATAGCCATATCCCCCTCAATTTGAGTGGGACGATTGAGAATGAGCGGTCGAATGAGAGGTGCCATTCGTTGCCCAAGTTGGAACTTAAAGGTAAAAGCAAATGAGATGCTCGTAGAGCAACGGCTTTAACTTGTCCAAGAACAAGTCACTAATCTGATTTTTGAAAAGCACAAGTTTTAGAGTCCTAACAAAGTACTGCTACTTTCAAGGATGTCAAATCTCTAGAGAAAGTAATCCAGAATTCTCAGGTAATATCTCGTGAAGGAGTTAT